GAGTTTGTGTTAATTTCTTCCCTTGTTGGTGGATTGTCAAGGTCCGTCTTCGGCTCTTGTTGTGGGATGTTTTCTATTGAAGACTCTTCTACCACTCTCTCTACGCCAAACAGGTTCTCATAATTAGTGTTCAGCCCAGGGTTGTAGAGTGGTTTCTTTATCAGTAAACAGGATAGCACCATCTGACGAGCCCAACGGAGCTTGTATTTGGAAGGTGGGACCGTGCACTCCACGAAAACATTTCTAGAAGGCTCTTGTGTTTTCTTGGTTAGCAAATTGTAGTGTTTTCTCAGCAATATTTATCCACTAGTTGTTTTCCATGTTCCACAACTGTGCTTGGAATTTGCTGTACGCTTCTCTTTAATCCACCTCGGCCTTTTTGATCATTTGGGTGGGCAAGTAGATGTTCATGGCAGAGTCCTTTGTTATCAAGTGGCCTTTAGATTTCGGTATCATTCTCAGCAAACTAATCTTGGTTTCTTCGCGTAGTGAAGCTACCTCTGCTGTAGTTTCTTGTAGGGTGTCTTTAACTTCTTGCGATTTCTTTACAGGATCTTCTGTGTTGGGGCAAGTGTTTTTGGTCAATTTGTTTTGGAGTCTGGAATTCTAATTCGGAGCTAACCTTCACTGAAGGCCTTTCACTATCCGCCACCTGTGACCCGCTGGGTTGGGGATGGATACCCTTGATTTGCCCATCACTCGATCAAACACAATAGAATAAATGTTAATTCTATCAGGGTTTAAAGAAATAATAATTTGCATGAAAATGATCTGAAGGGTCCCTTTCAGCTGCTCGAAGCAATCAAAAGTAAGTCAACCCTAAGATGTACGAGATGATAAGGTTTCTTTCAAAGGAAGGAGTATCCTAAAGGTATTTGAGATACTATGGTAAGAACCGAATGAGTATCTTAAAAGCGTGAAGATGCATGTTACCACAACATTGATAAAACAGATAAATTCAATATCAACTCATAGATATCTATCTTTTTAATGGATGCCAACCGTCAAAGGCCCTGAAATTGAACGGTCCACCATGAACTGTAACAATCAAAAAACAACCGTCAACCTTCAAAGTTGCCCCTCATCAAGACCCCTCGAAAAACCACTCCCCGAATGCAATTTGGAGCTGGCGGACGAGGAGTGACTTTCGAACTGGCCTGGGGGCTGAGTAATTCCTCCCCGAGAATTCGGCTTTCGTTTTTGCTATACTTTCTCTTATTATCATCGTTTTATCTTTTTTTTTTCTATTTTGTGTAAAAAGTTTCCATTAAGGTCTTCCTTTTTCCCCAGAGAAAATAATAGAGGAACAAAAATAATAGATAGAATAAACGATTAAAAAAACATTAGGGAGGATTAAAACCTGGAAAACTAAACCAAGGAAGCCATGGACGGACTGGAAGGATGCTTTTATATGGGTTTGTTCGACTGTGGTACCTCTGGCCTGGTTCTCAGGCCCTGTTGCATCTCGCGCTGGCAAAATATGCAATTCAGCCTTATTTGCATACTCATTCGTCAAAAATAACTCGTTATCGTTATAAGTTTCCTACTATCATAGCAGCGTCTTGTTTACAATATCGCTCTACAATTCGGTTCCCCAATACTTTTCAATGTCTAGTACGGCATACTCCGTGACCTATTCTAGCTTGTGATTTTAATCATACCACTCATTTCTAGCCTCACATAAAATAAATTTTTTAACGAGCCCCCGGTATGCTGGCATCGCATTTGAGTTCTTTTTTTAATCACATAACTTTTCGTGTCAAAAAGCGTATGCAAATCTTATCACTTGAACCTTATTAATTATATATACGACTCTTTTTGTTCCAGCTGTTTGTCTCTATAATTAAACTTATTTTGAAAAACTCGATGGCAACCAAAACGGTTTGGTTTATTTCTTGTGTTTGAAGTACTAGATAATTACAAATTCATTTAAGAAAGAGCTTAGCTTACAACTACAGCGCGCGTAATTGTAGAAAGTATAAAAAGGGATTGTTGATAACGTAGTTAACTTGCAAGCGGGGAGGGGAGGGAGGGAGGGCTGCTTTCTGGCCCAGAGTTTGCCTGATTGGATAACATCGGTAATAAACTCTATTGATACGAAACTTTCTGCATTGCCTCACGTATTATATTCGAAGTGGACAAATTGAGATAAATCGCTAAATTTTTTTTTAAATGAACAGTCGTGAAACTTTTCTAACGAAAACTAGAAGAAAGTGATGAATTACACGATGAATGAATGCAGACTTAGTATTTCTGCATAGGCTTTCTCAAAGCAGATGGATGTAGATTGTAAAATATTGTCGTGAATGAAAACCTACATATATGGCAGATGGTTCAAGCTATCTAATGTTTTCTGACCATGGAATTGTTTGTAACTGCAACTGATTCAAAATCCATATAGTGTCGAGGCCTTTGCTTTGGTAAGTACTGGGAAATGCTGGTTTCTGCATCTAAAAATGATAAAATAATGATCTTCCATACCATTCATTTTATGACAATATCTTCATTTTACATATTACAGGCATTTAGAGTGTGTTAACCTAAAAGACAGCAAGAAGGCGAAAATACCATCGGGGAGAGGTACAGAATATCACAATTGATTATTAATACATTTATCTTATTTTTGTCTCATCAACTCTAAAAAGGAAAGTCATCGGGTCGTTTGAGGTCAGGGAAAATAGACTTTGTCGTAGACTTGTACTTCCGATCCATGAAATTCAGTGCTAATAAAATCTCCCTAAAGCAACGCAAAGAAACGGCAAATGTCGTAGGTTTGTCAACAAACAAAGGAACTCGAAATTAAATCGATTACCATTATGACGACTATCCCGTTAGATGTTTAGAAAACAGGGACACGTTTTAAGAGAGTGAGTTTTATTGTACTATTTTTTCGGGGCTTTTTGCATCGGTATACCATAGAAAATGTGATCAAACCTTCAGATAAGATTTCATAGCATTTCGTTGTGTAGATTTTGTCGAATTCTAATTTAAGTCTCGATGTGTTAATCGCGTTCCGCAATGAAAATGAAGATAACCTGTCATGGTAACTTGACATATAAATATGACATTAGCGCATTACCAACGCTGCGAGTCAAATATTATTTTGAGACATTTTCACGAAAACGGGTTTTGATATGCTGATGTTTCGGGTGGTTGGAAGAAGTTTTCCGACTATTTTCAAAGCGCTCAAAAACCAACTTTCCCTCTTCTTAGTCAAACCAATTTCTCACATGTGTTGACCATAGGATTGAAGTTTGAAATAGCGGCATGGCTACTGTTATGCTAATATGATGGGGAAGTCCCGTTAAACAGTTTTTGGGGACGGTCTCCAAACTTGCTCGATAGATTTTCCCAAAACTTTAGGATTTTCTTTTTTGAAACAAGGCGACGGGGCTGAGTGAATTCAAACATGTCATATGCAGCCGTTTCGAAATTATGATATCACTAAGTTTACAGTTGATTCAACGACCGCGAAATGATACTGTTCACGGAAAGAGCTTGATAGATTATATTTTTCCCGTGTGTACTCGAAATTGATCTCTGCGCTTTGTGCTTTTGAAATATTTGTAAAAGCAATTTTCTTTGATTTCAGTTCCTCTCTTGTTGACATTATCTCTCGTTCATTCGGGTTGCTGATGCTCGGCCATGAAGAATATTGTATTGCCTAAGGAGGCACGTATAAACGATAAACGTCCCACGACAAGTTATAGCACAGTCCGACCTAAAAGGAAACGAGACTCAACAAATAGAGAAGCCTTGACTGTGCTCTGTTCTGTTGGAGAGCACGCAGGAAGCGACTGGGGCACAACGACGTAGTCGAGTGTTTCTCCCCACTTCTTGAGCGCTCTAGCCGCTTGCTAAGTGCTTTACAACAGAACAGAACACACTCAAGGCTTCTCTATTTGTTTGATGAAAAAGTATCCGTAAAATTCCCCACGCACCACTTTCATTTTCAAAAGAAATTTTATTTTCAAAACGAACTACAGTGTGGTCAGCATGCTCTATACTCTCATAAAGCAAGATGTAATAAGCCTGTCAGAATCCTTGTTAGAATGGCTCAAATAATCTGATTGGTTCAACAAGACAAAAGCTGTCAAAAATGTTAATCCATCAAAGTTCAGTCTATTTTAAGGCATTCAGAACTTCTTGTATAATTGACCATCCTTGACTTTTCCGTCCGTATCTCAAATTCGGTGAAATTTATGTATTTTTGCCCAGAATCATCCTAAACAACTTCAAAGCCTTAAAAGTGATCTTTGTGAAACACAAAGGAACATCAATTGCAACAATAAATCGAGCTGTTTGGTTCATCGCGCTCCTGTCGGCGTAATTTTTTAAATACGGGCTAAGTTGTATATATCGTCCACAATAGATGCCAAATTTCACTAATTTCTTTGACAAAACAGTTGCAAATTGACAATACCAAGGATATCAGTCAATTTTTCAACGAAAGATCTTCAGGAAATGAAAGTTGGGTGATTCCATCCTACTTGACAGTATTAAGAACTCTTTGGCACTTTATAACGCGTCCAAAGACCTATGTTTTGTTGTCAGATTCATCCCATTTTCGTAGAAAAAAGCTATTTATTGTAGCGCTGACTACATGCATTTGCGATGGATTTCTAATTTTTATTTCAGTTCTAGACTTGGCTTCATAAATCCTGTGTTCCCGTTCTTTTAGCGAGTTTACTCTTGAAGGGTTAACTTTGTCACGAGGCTTACAACTGAAAAAAAAAATTTGCGTATTCCAATGCTTATTCTATAGATAGTTTTATATGTCCTCTAATTGGAAGTGAGCACGGCGTTTTTGAAAAGCTTAAGTTTCCGGAATGTGGCGAAATCTCAAATGGTTTCCCTTCGGTAGATAAATCCAAATAGATCGCCTTTATCAAGCTTAAAACCTACGGCATTTAAGCTTAAGCAAAGTGAGACAGAACTCTTTGTTTACAACAATAATCAATTCATGTTTTCGATGAAACAGCTTGTTATTTGACACAATGAAAACTCAAAATAGCTTTCTACGCATTGATTTGTCAAAATTATGTTGAAAAACCGGTTTCATTGAAGAACTGTTATTGTGACAATCAATGTGAAACAGTTGTTAGTCTCGGAAAATGAATTATGCTCGTTCATAGGCCGCGTCTTCTATTTTCCTACATCAAGGTACATTTACCAGGTTCATCAGTGAATTCTCTTTTCAGAATCACACATGTATAGTTTGAGGCTGATGAGTTCGTTACCATGCTTAAACCCAGGAATCTAGCCATAGATCTTTCATAATCATTGGGGAAAGTCCAAGGGTATAACTTTTCTTCTTCCAAGAAGCTGGATAGAGAATTTTAAAATCACTTCCCTGATAAAGTGAAAAGGAATAATTTGAAATCCAAATTTCAAACCCCTCAACTTCAACGTTGATTAACTATTTGTGTGGCAGGGTCGTCTGAGAAGACAATCGAAACGCTTTTATAGCGGTCGCACTATGAAAGCAATTAACTGTTTCAGTTAACCTCGGTCGACAGGAAAAATTTTAAAACCCTCGAGAAGGATCAGACAGAGAGCCTTTTTAATGGAAACAGTGTTTTGTTAGCAACTGAAAGAAATTCTTTTTTGGTGAAAAGAGGCCCAAGGTTAAGAATTTCAAAGGCATTTGATAGGAAATATATGTCAAATCTCTAATGGTAATTATTATTCGATAGAACTTACAGAACGTAAGATTTTGTGTTGTGAATTTAAGGATTTGTATCTTAAAAGTGAAAAGCCTCCTCCAAGGGAGTTTTTTAAATTGTAAACTTACCAAAAGACTTTGCATGACTCATTATGGTAATTATAGCTGCTTTAAAAGAGCCTGTTCTCTAATATGAACTTTCGATTGTTTTAACTGTCAAAGCTGTAAATTTTTTTTACTTAAATTCAAACTTTATTTTCACTTTTTATGGAATGGAACAATTTTAATTTTAATAGCCATCTAGTTCTGTTAAATTGTTCAATAAGCCAGCTGAATTCTGTCAAATCATAGTCACTTTAGAACATTGTCTCTCGTCAGCTTACGAAGACGCTTAATGCAAATTAGTCAAATTATGGCTTAAGGTCACTGAAGTGAAATAATACAATTTGAGGCTGTTTCAATCGACGGTGATCGGGATTAATCAGCACACCATTGCTGTAGCATATAACATTTAGAAGTAATTTCGAGAATGTTACGCCTATCTGTCACAAGGGCAAAGAAAGCTAATCCATTCAAGTTAAACAGTCCTGTTTCAAAAGTAAAAAATATTGACTCAGTACAAAATCAAGATCGATATCATTTGATACAAACTCACAAGTTAAAAGTCTATAAAAACTTATTGTAGACCTGGCACAGGTTTCATCGTCGCTGGAGTCCGTCATTAATGATTCAGGGTTGTATAAGCAGCTGTTTAAGGCCGTATATTGGTTTCTATTTGTGACACCGAATGTTATTGCAGCCGATACAATACCCATGTATATACTGGTGCCTGTCGCTTTTGAAGGTACTGTGAAATGTTAATTTTTAATCGGTATGATAACGAATGTCTTCCATAGAGCTACCTATTCACCAATATGATCATGTTATATATTTCAGGAGCTCCGAATTGGGTTACATTTTAACGAAAAAACAGACAACACACAGAACGGTACATTCGATCTACGAAAGGTGCGTAAATTAAAAATATTGGCGGAAACATAACACGATATTCATTCGTTCAGTTATATTGCTATAAAATGTAACTATGTGCTTTAGCAGTGAAGATGGTTCAATCATCTTCTGCATCTCCATCGATTAGAGAGAAGATTAACGAGCAGTTCACCATTGACTAACAGTAAATTTTTAAAAGGGTCATGCTTGAAGAACTTGTTTTACATATTCCTCGTAAAGAACTTAAAGTAATACAACTTTTTTGGCGATTTCAACAAAAATCAGAACTTTATTAACAGTGAGAAGCATGAATACTGTCAGATAAAACACAAGAGGCATTGAGGTGAAAGTGTATTTTTTGGTGTGATCTATATAAACACAAATTTTGAACCAAATATTTCTATTTTGACTGCATTATGACCGACAGGCGATAGCCGAGTAGTCTGTCAAAATTTATTAGCTGTAACAGAATTAAGAGTTATGCCATGCACTGAATGAGTTGTTCGCTTTTACCCAGAGTAGTTGGCATTTGAATTGTTTGGGTGATTGAAAAAAAAAAAAACCCAAAGGAATGATTACAGTGGTTTCACAACGGTATTTAGATTCATCAAAGTTTTTTTCGATCCTCGATCTATGATAATCATTGTTGATAATTTAAAACGGCGAAAATGAAATTGCCTTGAGTCAAAGCAAACAAACGTCAAATATTTATTTTTTATAAAAAAAGGAAGGTATCCATAAACCAGATACAGTATGTATTATTGTAGAGACCCTGTGCCGCGAGATGTTTGGGAAATAAAAAGACATTTTACTGAGAGAGTGACTCTTTTAAGTTTTTTATACGCAGCTTTTTCCATTGTCATGTATAGACCTCTATAGAGTGCGAGCTGGGAAATTACGGTGAGAAAATATTGCATATGATAACTTTTGATAACGATTTCATTTATTATCGAATCCATGTTGTTATTATAAGGAGAGGGAGTCTCAAATTGATTGTTGATGGAAACAGATCGGGGTCTGATGGCGAAGAATCGATCGTCGAGTAAAGGAAAGATGCTGTCATTCAGTGCTAATTTTCCGTCGAAACAAGCAAAGTTACGATAGGAATCAGTCCATGAAAACAAAGCAAAACTGAATAATTGAAAGATTTTTAACGATATTAAAAATGGATAGTTTAATTTACATTATGCTTCCTTCCGAAACATCTTTAGCTAAACGTTTAGTATACTGACTTCGAAAAAATGAAATCCACCAGTTTAATGGCAATTTGAAAGCTGTTTTGTCAGCTTTAAAGCAGATGAATGTTGCATGTTTTCTTTTAAGTGAACTGTAATTCAGAGCCAGTGTGTTAATATATGTCATAAGAAATAGTAACTGCCACAAAGGTGTCTAATTGGCAAAGTGATAACAATCAGTGGAATCCTCTACCTGTCTAACACCTTTACAATTCTTCCCTTGAAGTATTTTATACTCGTTGAGTTGTTTGTAATTCTCTCTCGCAAAGTGCTTACTTGTAAGGCCTCTCTAACCCCCTTTCTTGTTTCCCTTTGTCCTTTGACCACGTATTTCTCGCAGATTCTCTGATTTCATTTATCTTTACAGGACTTTTGTTAGTCCTTCATCTTCATTCTCCCATTACTCAGAACCAAAACTTACCGGGGAATCCTTTCTTCCAATTTGTTCGGTTGTATCGCAGTTTACCATGTATCCTCTTACGTCTTCCATCTTAACTTCAGTTATAGCCTCGCGAAGACTAAATGGTGATCAGACCTAACATCTGCTCCTCGGTTTATTTTTATTTTTTACACGAAGAGTTCTTTTTGAAGTGCCTTTGGATGCATATGTGATCTATGTAATTGCAAGTTTTTTAATCAGGATGTAACTAAATTATCTTGTGTGTTTCCTTGTGTCGAAGACAGTGCCCTCGTCAACCACGCTATTTCCAGGACATCATTCTGCAAACTATGTGCGTTTTCTTATCTGGCGTCAGTGGCGTGCTTCCTTATGATTCCAGAGTGGCTGTTTGCATTGCTAATCTATGTATGACAGTCAACTTCAGGGCGATTATTTTTCTTTCCATGCTGTCTCCAAGGTGCTTTGCAGGTCCCTGAACCAGATGTCTTCCTTCCTCTCTATCACAGCATTGGCGGTTTGTAGGTTTGCTACAATAAGTTTTGGTCAATTCCTTTGGTTCGACGTTCTTAACGTAGCCTAGATATGTGTAAGCATCATGTTTACTTTACGAGAAGACTTCTCCTTCTTTTAGGCTTGAATAGTGGAGGCCGTACTTTTCGTCTCCATCACCAGGTACACACCATCCCTGGTAGAGCTCCAGGTGCACATGTTCGTGTTTTAAACTTGGAATGTTTCTGGTACATCATTGCGCCTTTGAGAATTTCAGTTACTTAGCTATCTGTGACCAGGGTTCATGCATTTCGCAGATGCGGTTCCAGCTCTAAGAGTCCTTGCACCTTTCTTGTTCGTCTGTTTCTGTCAGTAGTGCATCAAACATCACCGAACTATCCTTGACTTTGGGGGGAGATTCGCCTTAATGAAATCAAACCAGGTTCATGTGTGAAATAAACTTTTTATTCCGCGAGAATTTAAACTTAAACCACGCGTCTCTTTGCAAAGATGGAAATGTCGATGCCAGTCTTCTTTAACTCAGCGGTGGCGCTTTCGAGGTATCAACCTCAAAGTCGTTCGCCGGACTTCTGTTAGTGGAACTCGATATTTCTCTTTTGATACACCTCGAATCCCTGGCTGAAACATAACAGCCCTTTTTCACTTTCATCACCACGCCTACGATTTACTTTTTTCATGTTTGTGAGGCTCTCATGATAAACTTTTGCTCCATAGCACAAATTATCTCTGTCACAAACTTATCTCTGGTGGCACGTTCGTCAAGAATAAATTAATGGCGAAATAGTTCATAAAGGCGAATAAAGGGGAATGCATCTTCTGAACTAGTTTTCCAATTTTACTTTGCCATGGAAGTCATTTCGTAGCAGGTGTAAGAATAATAGACTAGCTTTTTTGAGATCTTAGACCCCAACTTGGTTACCTCCTGGCAACCGCTTCTTGATTGTCGTTCGAAAGTTTTACTCACAATAGCTCATTAACAACATCTGACATCTTGACGCAATCTCCACGGGCGGTTCGCAACTCAAGGGCGTCAGACGTCTCACAAATAGCGTTGAGTAAAAGTGACTTTTTTTTAGGAGCCAAACTACTCCTAAGGAATGTGAGGTAGTTGAAAAGTGGATGTTTGAATACTCGTTTGGGAACGCTATCATCTCAAAGGCACAATAACTCAAAGGCAGGAAATAGGTAAGGATTTCTCAGCAGATCCTTTAGCGTTTAACACTAATCTGAATTTGATCGAAGGAAACGTGAGTGATAATTCTTTCGCAAACAAAATCTCGCATTTCGGGTTGGTCAAAGGGAATAGTCCATCAAATTTCTTGTAGCTTTGAGAGGTAGATTTTTTATTTCTAAGCTCTTTTTCTTGAAGTTTTGGCTGGAAGGTCGAGAAAGTGTGTCACTTATTTCTAGTTTTTAGGTTAAATTTTAAAGTAGCTTCCTGAGAAATGATGTCCATTGCCAGATGTAACAGTGGAAGACTTTGAGGTACAAGAACTTCCAGGTCTAAAATACACCGACGTCGAACTGCTACTCGAACTCGGATGATCAGACTGCATAATCCTCTCTAATAATTTTTAAGAAAAAAATTGATTTCTGAAATGCCTTTCCATCCTTAAAACTTTCCACTCTTTGCCAAAATAGAAGCAAGGAATAGCGCAAAGTAAATACTTTCAAAATGCTACAACACTTTTGAAGTAAGAGTACACTGTTTGACAGAATAAAAAGCCACTAATGGGTAGTTATCGCTTATTCATTAATTTGGTTAAAAAGTTGTTTGCATCAAAGATTTGGTATTGTGAGAACATATCGAAAAATAGAGCAGTTGGCAGTCCTTAATGATGATAACATTCGTCACTCAGAAGACCAGATGTTCTATTGTTCTGCATCTAAGCTAGAATTACGATGTTTGTTGATAAAATCGTTCGTGCTTCTCTATTCTGCACGAATACAAACTTAGTAATTTTAACCTCACCCTCTCTCTAGCTGACCGTTAGCTTTCAAAATTTTACAATCAAGAAATAAAGCTCAAGAGTGGGTTTAAGTTTTACATCGCCTGGGCTGGAAATAGAAACGCTATGATGGGATTATTAGTTTGTCGTTTTCATGGTAATAGCAATTGATTTTTACGTCTCCCATAAATTAAGCACGAATTTCACCCTTGAATGAGGACAATAAAGTGATTTTTCCTCTCAATGCATCGGATCTGAGTGAACATCACCTGAAAGGTATATTAGTGTTTTCAAATTATCCTGAATGTGTTCTGGAAGCGCGCGTAGATACTGAAACCGCTCGCTTTGATGGGCACAGGGCGTCCAACTCCTAAAGGGAGCCCACTAAGCTAAAACAAGAGTGACACATAATTGCTGTATTAGCGGCGCTTTCTAAAATATTACTAAAAAGTCTTTTGCAGCAAATTTTTCTCATTAAAATTAATATATTGCGATAGTTTTGCATTTCCAATGTATTATGAATGTAAAGCCTAATTTTTGCGTTTGTACCCGAGGAGATTTGAAGAAAACATTTGGCCTAAATAATTAAAAGTGCCTGCAGGACTTAGCCAGTCTGACGGTCATTTTGCAATGTTTTCAGGCATTTTCACTTTCAAATCTCTGAAGACAAACGCACATAAACGATGTATGGAAAAAAGTCCTTTTGATTTATGTAATGGGGTAATCTGCGGCAAGTCTATTGACCGTGATTTGTTTCATGTTTATCTCCTTCACCGACAAAATGAAAGCTATTCATACGCACATTTTTAACCACGCAGCGTTCACGCTGTTTCTCTCTTGACCAAACTACTCGCAGAAACTTCTTGAGATCTGCATCAGAACACCTGTCTGTTATGAGAAGATCATAGTGCCCTAGTCGCTGAAGTTATGGTACGTTTACATTATTTTCCTACATAATATGTTGGATTGCACGCGAATTCAAAATTGTTTTAAAGGCTGCAAAATTCATTTTGAAGATTCCTCTCGTATAAGGTCACTACTATTCAGAGAATTCCGATGAGTCAATTAATTCTAACATTCAACACAGTTAACGAAAAGCGTAGTTGTCCTGAATACAATTATCACCACAGAAATTCTACGTGGCAGTGAGCTTTGAAAGCAAATTATTTTGATCCTGGAACCTCCCTTACCACGTCTTACACAATATTCCTCACCTTTGCATCCTTCAATTTCTCTTGCATTCTCCCTCGTCACGGATTTCTACAAAACTAATCTCTCTCATCATTTTGATTGTTTATCATCTGAAAATCAAGTGTCCTATCTGTATTTATTTTATATCGATGGTTAGTCGGTTTTCCTTAAATTAGTTCTAGGAGGTTGTTTTTCTCATTTTCACGGATACCGGGGGTTGATGGAAATAATATCATGCGCTTTGAATAGTTAAATTCAGCGCAAAAGGAAAACAAAAAATTAAAAAAGCAACTTGCTTAATTAGCATGAAGAACTTTCGCCAAGGATTTCACCTTGATTGATTTTTTTTTAAATTTATTTATTAGAATTTCTTGTGGGCGTTTGGGGGAGTATAATTCTTCTCAAGGTATTTTTTAATTGTGAAAAGACAAAATTTTCTCTTCATTTCTTCGGGTGCATGTGTATCATGTATGTTTTTATGTAAGGCAACCTTAACGGACAAAGTATTCCAATTTATTTATGAATTCAATCGAATTGGCTCAAATGAAATTGAGTGACGCCGCGACACCTGAGTGGACAAATCTTTATACGCTCATTTATCGTGCGTTTACACAAAATAATTGTGTAAAAATAATTTCTCAGCATTAGCAATCGTTATAAAATACTGCAGTTTATGTTATAGATCTTAAGTTTGCAATTATTGAGAAAGTTGCAGAACTAATTGATTTACGATGGGAGAGCTTGTTTAATGACTGACACTACAAAGATAAAGGGAGTTTTCTTATGTACGCTGCGTTGATTTCTTGATTTCAAAATAGAACGAAGAAAAAATATACGAAACACCCATACATTCAATACTACATTGTTATTTGTTTTGAACTAACCTGTCAGCAAAGGCAGGACCCAAGACAGCTGAAAACCTCACACTAATCCTTTTGAAATTCGGTTGCTTGAAGGTTTTGGCCGAAAATAAAGGGTGTGAGGGATCACTTATAAGGAGGGTTCACGAAAAGCAATGTTCCTCCCAGCTGATCTGCGATTTAAGTAATTGCAGAAAAGAAGTATGGAAAAAATATTTTCTTCACCTGCGAGGATCATAATATTCAGTACTCTATTTGATATTCATCCGAAGATCAAACATAACTTATTTCTTTAGAATCGTATTTAGAAGGTCACTGAAGAAAATGTACCTCAATAAAGCTATCTATTTCCAGAGGGCAGATTTTTCAGCCCGTGAGTCGAGCCAAAAAACAGGGACAACTTTGCCGCAACGAATAAAGATGCCGACTCCAAACTAACTATTTTATCATTGTTCAAACAAAGTACTTTTGAGTTTTCTCAGCTTTCGCTGCCGTCCAATGACTAATGACAGCTAGGTAACCTTTTTCACTTGTACATTACTGCTTTAGTAAAAAGTGTACATTGTTGGCTGACGTCTTCCTTAATTGTCTGATATTTATTATTTTGGGGTCAAAATTAATCGACATTCATCGTGCGGCACATCAGTGTGGTGTTTGAAAATCTCTGCTCTACGCTACCGAGGGTTTCACCTATTTTTCACTGTTGAGAGCTCAGTTATGAAGAAATTCGCTTTCGCCTGTGTTGCTCTGTTCTGCTGGACTGTTATAGCCGGTAAGATTTTTTCACTTTTGACTTTCTCTGGTTTAAACGCTGAAAAATATGTAGAGACACTGATGTCACCCGATGCTGTTATAAGGATGCAATTTTACAAGGGGAAAATTACAGTCAAATTAAATGCGTAAGTATGAGAGGCGTTATAAAACAATTTTTCCACTGCCATGTAGTTGTTGTGTTAGTGGTTCTTAGCAAAGAAGTTTTAGAGTTTATACGCATGCAATTTAAATTTTTTTCGAGGTTTATTGAGGAACTTTCGACTCCAATTCTTTGCCGGTTTTTAACAGTTGATAACTTGGTGACTGTAGCGCCTCCAGCTCACGCAAAGCTGCACTGCATACGTTTTGGGTCTGACGTTCTGTGCCAAGTGAAATGTAATGATGGCTACGTTTCTGATCCTGAAAGACCCCATGCTAACTCTTATATCAGGCGCGAGGGCAAGTGGAAAACGCACCCAGAAGGAATGAAATTTCCTTGGGCCGACTGTGTATTGGGTTAGTATAATTTTACACAAATATTGGAGTCGCAGTATTGAATCGTTGCTTTACCGACTTGATGGTGTTAGGGCACAAAACAAAACAAAACAAAGAAAGAAATGCGATGATGGAGATGATTTATAATGAATACATGATGCTGATCACTTTGCTTCCTCATGGTTTCATCAGACTGGTGTACAGATGACATTATAGAAGTTGGTCAATAAATTATGTCTTTTTGTGCGAAGCTAGCCTCAAAATACTTCTGACGCGTGACAATCTCAATAAACGTTTTTAAAACAACGTGTTGCCACTAGCGTCCTAAAGCTAAGTGATAGAGCGTCCAAAGTAATGATGGGAAACTTGAAGGTTCTGCTCCTTTTGGGAGCACTCGGAGTTTTTTATTCGAGTATGCCTGGTTCCATTCCCTTGAAACCAGTCAGTAAACCGAATAACATCACCTCTCACTATTAAAAATAACCTATTTCCTTTAATAAAGCATTATTCCAGAGCTTTACAGTAAGTTTAAAATCGGAAGTTGTTTAGGATACATTGGCTACAAGTTTTAACGATGAACGGCAACGTTTTTTCGTGATTGAAACTAACTGACGGTTATTTTTTTCGTTTGTTTTCTTTCCCTCTGTAGCATCCCAATAGAAATCGACCAGAAATGGCTTCACTGCTGAGGATTTCATTTTATTTCTTTTAGTTATTCGGAGCAGTTTAAGTATTATAGATGATAATATGGGATTTTGCAAAAGAAAACCCAAGTAAAATACATTAAAAGAAATAGCGCCGGCAAATTTATAATTTATTTCTTTTCTCTTTGTTTCCTGATTTATTCTAATGTTCGCAATACACGTCATTTTGAGCCAGAGACCAAGACACAAGACGCCATTATCAATTCTATTTTACTACGGTTCCATTCCCTTGAAACCTGTCAATAAACCGGATAACATGTTCTTGTAACAGCAAGTAAAATTAATTGTCATTGCTCCTGGTGGGGCTATTTAACGATGGATTCTAAGGGAACCAAATTGGCCATGTCTTTTGAAGATGAAAAAGATAAGATTGATAAAATTAAAAAAAAAAGCCACAATAAAAATTGAAAAATGTTTTTTCTTTAAAGAGACGGAACCTCTTAAAATGATAACTATTTAGCTGTCAGCCCAGCGGATCCCAACCATCAGGTTCACGAGTCGTCTTTCAGTTGGTAAATTTAAACGTGTCGGGAGTACAATGAAGTTGCTAATGCTTCAGAGCAATTCAGGCTGAAACCGCTGGGAAAAACGCAGTCTGTCTAAAATGTAAAAAAAAGAAAGCTTCTTTCCTACTTCACACAGTCGTTTTAATGTTCCCACAGTGGTCAGGAATTTAGTGCTTAAAGGCTATCGGAAGAAAGCTGCTTGTCTTTCAAAAGCTTTTTTGCCTAAATAGTTTGTCAAGTTTTTCATGTGAAGCACGAAGAATTCTTTGAATATGTTTAATTCCATGATCTGAAAGTGCACTCTCCAAACTGATAACATTCTTTCTTTGTTGGTCAGTTCCACAACTTTGTCCATGTATCGAGCTACTATCTGTTCAGCGGATGAGGATTGTTCTTTACTTTCTTTTTCCTGAGGGCAAGTAGAACTTACACACTATTTACCTCTAAGAGTTAAAGAGTTCCCTGCAAGCTTGCTTCCTTTACTTGATAAGGATGTTTCAATGCGTTTAGTCACCGAATGACGCAGATAAGAACTCACAGGAAAGGCCTGATACAAAGCAAGGATTATTCTGTTTTTTGCTAAGACTGCTCTTCATTGATGAAATCTTTTCTGGATATGACAAAAGTTGTTATTGAATCTTTGGTTTCAAAAGCCCAGTCGCTTGAAGCGCAAGAAACACAAGTTGCATTTTTAGGTTATCTTTAGACAGTTGGTTAATTGCTGATCACTGCTTTCTAAAGAGAAACTGAATGTTAATTTGCCAGTACTAAATATTTCGGCATTTAAGGCTGATAAGCGGACGGACATCACATTCATTAACAATTTCTAAAGCTTCTTGAGCACAAAAGAGTCTCACAACTGAAAGAAAGTAATTGTTTTTAGTTATATGCCCCATCTGACGTTACTATCAGTTTTATAATCGCAGGTATTATGTGGAAACAAATTGGCTCAGTCAAAGACATGCAGCTATATTTTAATATCAATTTCTCTTGGACTCATTTGCATAGGTTTCATTGCCTTTACCTTTGACAATTAAGGCGAAACAGGTGTTCGCAGTTCCACTTATTATGAAAGATGCGAAAACGCAGTTCACAAAAACAGACCCTACTAAAAAATTTCTTCAGCGACCGTAAAACGTTTGAAGGTAAAATGGAGGAAGGGTTTAAAGTGGTAAGTTTAGAGTTTTTAGCTCAGGGTGTTTAGCGGTCCCTTTGTACTCAGGAGGGAGCAGCACTAACCGCGCAAAACACGTTCTTATATTGCATGGATGTGTTTGTGAGTGATTTCTGCTGTTTTTAAGTTTGAAAATTGCCTGTTTTAGCTAAGACATCGATCCTTACAATTACATTTGTGATTCCTCCGTAATTCATAAATATGAAAATGTAAATTTAGAATTTTAAACCATAGCTTCCTCTGCATTCTGTAAGGAGACTGGTAAAAAACAATCCAAAAATACAGGCTATAGAAGGGAACTTTCATAGCCTAAGCCCCATGCTGAATTTGTGCAAAAATTACGATTAACGTCCTTCACTTTTTTCTGTAAATGCTGAAGGCGCCAAGTACATCACCAAGTGTGACACAACGAAATTTTCAATTGTTAACATATCTGAGCAACTTTAACGAACCAGTAAGTTTGACTGCAAATCTAATCTGAGTAGTTATGTAGAAACAGGCTGGAAATTCAAACTGAGCATTTTTGTCGGAGTGTGTAATTTTTGGAAATTGAGATGACAGTCGGAAGCTACGCAGTTTACTCTGTAAAATTTGGTATCGGATTGATTTGAAGGTAATTTCCTTTTTATTCTGAATTTTTTAAATGTAAAGTTTTCTTGATACCCTGACATGAAAAACCTTTGACGAAATCTGGATTTATAGAGTCATGCTCTATTGATAAGTACAAAATTTCAGTCGCATTTTTTAATTAGTGAGAGAAAATTCCCCGCAGTTTAAAAATCTCGCCGGAGGTTTGTTTACAAAGTGAAGGATTATTCTATGGTTTCGTTTCTTAAAAATAGCTTTCGCTCCGAGGAGATATTTTTAAGGCATCCTTAAACGCGAGAATCATCGTGCGCAGTAGTTAGTTTGGCAAAATGCACGTTAAAGAATCGTTTCTGAACACTCAAGAAGAAAGGCATCTGGTCACTATCAGTACGCGTAGCTCTTTGTTTATTGCCGAGTAGGGCAAAAACTAATACGGTATTTTAGCGCTTTGAGTCTTAAAATTAAAACACTCGTTACCGATTAGTCTCACACTTTCCTGAGTGTGTCGTGAACAATCGTCAATATTTCCATGTTAAAAAGAAATGTGTTAAACTTTAGAAATAGGTAGTCTTAACACTTACGTGGAAAGATCGCAGGCTAAGAAGTGTGCTTTTTTCTCTCTATTTTGTCATTTTTTCATGGCAAGCTATTCAAGTTCGAAAAGAGGGGCATCAAGCTTCTAGGGCTACTGCTTCCCCTTTAATCTGTTGCTCTCGTAACATTCCTATTCTAGATTTGACATCATCTGTTCATGGTATATGATTTCAATTTTAAAAAATTGTTTTCCTTCGAGTGAATGTAACACTCATTCTGCCTTCCCACTCAGTTTAGCGTTCTTTTTAATCAAAAACTGTACATCTTAATTTTCTTGTCTGAATGACTTCGTGCATGCACTGTTAGTTATTAAATACTCCATCTTTTTGACAAATATCGATCTACTGAACCGATTTTCAAATCAACGGGTTGATTATAGAAGTGCAATTCAATCGAAAGCAGGTGGAAGGAGATAGACTGTCAGTAGCTAGGTCACTCAATTTTCTCTCTTTCATATTTTAGTTTGAATAATTACACAAATGGCAGTCAATAAAGCGGCTGGCTTATTTCGTTCATGCTGGCGATACGACGTTACCACATCGGCTGGCCGTCGCGTGCAGTCGCTGAAGATCATCGGTGTGGCGATGATAGCCGTGCTCGGCCTTCTCATCTTCGTCGCTGAGGATGTCCGCCAGGCACACAAGAGTATTAATTTAGCAAGCGAAATGGAAGATAAGTTGCAATCAAGCCTTCAGGTGGCATATCTTATTCATCGCTTGCAAATAGAGCGTGGCCTTACTGTATTGTGCCTCAGTTCCCGAAGTTCAGGAAAAATAACGCAAAGCGTTTACGACAAAATGAACAATGCCCGAAAAGAAACGGACAAGGCTCTGGAAGAAACGGAGTGGCCATTCTTGCACCTATCCATTGCACCTTTCCTTGCCAGTGCCGACCGTTTTCACGAACATTTGAAGGTTCACAGGAATTATGTTGGGGAGAACTGTACAAGCGGCGAACCGAACGGTCAAATTAAGTTCTATACTCATCCAATCAACTTGATGCTTGATTGGTTCTTTGACACGATCAAAAATACCTCCCAGGAGATCAACGTGGATATGATTGGATACTACATGTTCCTTACCGGGAAGGATAAAATTGGCATAGAACGAGCGCTTGGTGGATCCTTTTTCGCAAAGGGACAATTCAACAACACAAACCTTGTGTATTATGCAAACCACAGTATACTCGGAGGAGAATACTTGAAGTCGAGTGGAATGTTAATGCCCGAGATTAGTATGGAGTTAGATCAAAATGTAAACGACGACCTGTTAGCTTCGATTGAGAAAAACCGAAGTGTAATTTTCACAAACAAAGCCAGCAATGGGTCATCACAAAAAGGCGAAGATTGGTTCGATCTCATGACGAAGTACCTTAACAAGTTGTTCAAGGTACAAAATAATGCAGGTGACATCCTCAGAAAACGCCTGGAAGACACAAAGAAATCTAAAAAGTCAGACTTGGCCATGCGATTGTCGTTTCTCATTTTTGCGTTCCTTTTGATTCCCTTCCTGGTAATTTCCGTTTACCGAATGACCGGGACGATTCAAAATTACACATTCAAGCTGGCACAAAAGACCTTGGAGCTACAAGAAGAGAAGAGGCGAGCAGATACACTCCTTTACCAAATGTTTCCTCATTCTGTCGCTGAGATGCTTAAGAAAAAGCAGCAAGTTCCAGCCGAGTACTTTAAAAGTGTCACAATATTTTTTAGTGACATCGTCGGCTTTACAGAGATGTGTTCTGTCATGACTCCTTTACAGGTACGAGTTTAAATAATCATTTTAACGCTCAATAGAATTTGGGAGATTTTTCTCCTTCTAAGAAAGGGTGCTACCATTACTGAATGGGCAGAAAAGACTTTGTAAGGAGGGAAGCTACTTCTGTATGGCTACAATACCTCAAAAAAACTACGAGATGAAAGTCTCTTATTTCTCTAAGGATAAAGCAAATCTAGATACAATGCTTAGCTTGCTAGAACCGAGTACTGACGAGGGTCCATACTGACGAAAAATTATATATCGATTTAGGTAACAGGCATGCTAGACGCCGTGTATGGTGTTTTTGATGAGCGCATCAATACTTATGACGTATATAAAGTGGAGACCATTGGTGATGCATACATGGTTGCATCTGGGCTTCCCGAACGGAATGGCATTCAACACGTTGACCAAATAGCTCGCATGGCGCTTGATTTGCTTACGGCAGTGGATGAAATGGAGCTGCCACAGTTCTCTACAGGAAAACTCTCAGTGCGGATTGGAATAAATACTGGTAAGTACAGGTTAAAATATGTTTCGTTTTGGTAAATATACAGAAACTTACAGTTAAAATGATTTCCTAGAAAATAGAGATAATGCATAGGTGCGCATAGAGATGGAATTTATCTTCGAGTGTTAAACTCGATAGCTCACAAGTGAGCGCAGCGAACGAGTGAGATGTCGAGTCGAACACGAGAAGAGATAGTTCATATCTACAAGCAACCAAGTACTGTTTATTTGTCATATACGTGCAAAAGCCCCTTGCTGACAAGAAATGTCGACTGTGTTAATGAATGAAAAGGATCAACAATCCCCGAATTAAAATCGAAAAGTGCGCTGGCTCACTCAAGATAAAAACATGCGTTGAATCACTACAAAAACAAAATTCTGAGTTATTGACTTGGTCCTTACCGACAGAAGAAATCTTTCAGGTACGCGGCTAAAATTGGCTTATGACATATCTGTTAGTCGTCGATTTTTTTTCTTAACCAAAGCCACTGAATGCATAACTTTCGGTTTTTTTCTTTTAGTATTTCAGCTTTCTTCCCCTTCTAAGAAAGTTTAAACGTCACTCTCTGTAAGCAATACGGGTTTTTCAGTGTTTTAGGAGCCAAAATCCGAAAAAATCCGACAAACGACCTTAGTCATACACCTGACCAAGTGGCGCGAAAGGCGAGTGACGTGTCCTGTTTCAAAAACTACAATGAAAAAGATAGGGAGCTGTGCTTGCTTAAGAGATATGATAAGTCAATCTTTCCCCATTTATACCTGTACTGGTACTTATCACGCAGGTCATTTCATCGGTTCACGTTACTTTTTTTGGTAGCTGGAATCAAGTGTTTTGCGTAAAACTTGATAGGTAGGAAGTCTCGAGTGTGTAGAACAATGTAACACGCAATTAATTTTGTGAACAATCACGCGATCAAAACATCTCTCGAATCGTTGCTTTTAAGTTCATAATTTGCATCCTCGAGCTTCGTGCATTTTTTTTAGCCATATCTTTTTTCCCTCTGGTAATTTTTAAATTTACCTAATTAAAAGGGGATAATATGCACACCAAACTCATGCGATAAAAAATATAGGCCACCGTGCTCGTTCAAGACTAAAAAAAACATTTTACTTGTTTACTCCGTTCATTGATTGAAAAACAATACCATGATCTCGGAAAGTGCGCTCTATTACTCGCCTAATGATGTGATTTTGATGCACAGCACAGGATGTGCAGTGCAATGCTGAGAAAGCCGCTTTATTTCTCATTGGCTTCTCGGAAGTAATTAATAGCACTGTTTGCTGCGTTTGTGCTATACGCTAATGGTTAACATCGTGTCGTAATAATGTAAAAAAAAAAAGCCTTATGGTTAGTATTTACAATTTAAGCAATTTCTTCTTAATTTTGATCGAATGCTTCCGTCTAGGACCATGCGTCGCTGGTGTTGTTGGCACCAAAATGCCTCGATATTGTTTGTTTGGTGATACAGTGAACACTGCTTCACGAATGCAAACCACGGGAGAACGTAAGTAACTCGAATCAGTGGTGGAATAAAGTGAGGAAAGTAAGGAGTGGCACTTTTCTTCACACACTTTTTTTTTTTATCAAACTGCTGATTTAAGTAAAGTTGTCATGAATTAGTTGCTTTTCAGTACGTGAGCCTCTGTCGCGCAATGAACTTGTATAACATCTTTTTCGTTCTCTACGTGAGCATACGCAGGCTGGGTGGAATAGCATCTATTCGTAGTGGACATGCAGCATCAAGTCTTCAGTTCTCAGGCTGAAAGCTAATTCGATAACATTCATTTGGAATAACAAAGATGACAAATTTGACGAATCAAGGAAGGAGTTTTGTCACGAACGTGGGACAAAAACAGATTCTGAGTCTTCATAAGAAAAAGAACCTTAGACTTTCGGATGTTGCGCATCGATTCTCTACCACTGAGTTACAGACTGAGACTGAGTTAAGCAAATATTAAGCTCATGTGCAACTGGCTGTTGTTACACTTAGGTGCAGTCAACGAGGCTCGTTGTCTTATCATTCAGTTGAACTTTTTAACAATGATTCGTTAAATGCAGATCACTCGTGTGAGTGTTGTAGTTTACAGGAACTTGGAGGACTTAGTCGAGAGTTTGGAGAGCGCCAATATGTTATTTTATGTATCCAAAAGAATTAGGCTGCAGCTGCAATTTTCTTTCTTTAGGTTAAGAGTGAGTTAACTCTTGGCTTGTTCATTTTCTTTTCTTAGCTCAAAAAATACATATAACAGAATACACCAAAGACATTTTGGACCAGCTTGGATGCTACGAAGCCGAATTCAGGACCTATTTAGAGGTTAAGGTACGTGTAACTTTGTTGCTCTTGTAGGCCTAACCACTTAAGAAAATGGTTTATCCTAGGAAAGGTTTTGTGTTTCCTATACAAACTATTTTCATTAGTTCAAAATACCCGTGAAACAAGCGCTAAAACCATATCTTGAATTAGAATATCAGTTAATTAATACCCTGACAACAGAAGCTTTTTCAATTTCATAAGTAATTCTTAGTTTACATTTCTACTTTTTCTGGCGCAGGGCAAGGGAAGGATGCGTACATACTGGCTGAAGGCTGTCGCAGAGGATATTACCCAGTAAACGCCGACTTATTTTTCTCTGTCGTATGAATGCAATATTCATGTTTAAATCTGTTAAAAACTTTCCTAGATGGTAGGACTCCTCAATTTTGTAACGGGCACTGTACTAGGGGATACATTCAGTTAAGATCTACAGCTACATTCATGAGGTACGAAAACAGATGTGAATGTTTCTCACATGTTAATTTTCGCAGCCACTATAGCTGGTAAAGTTTTATTTCGTGAGCTCGACATTTCTCCAATTTTTAAGAAAATCGTTTGAAATTGACTAAATTTCGTGAACAGTTTTAAAAAGCCAATGTTGCTTGTAATATTTAAATGCTTCACTCCATAGCTAATACGAAGAAAAAAATTCAAACGTTTCAGCAATTTGAGATCTAACTAACACTTCTAAATTATACCTAGTATACTTTTATAATGCATGGCTCCTTAGCGGGAACTTACGGACGAGAGCGTATTCTTGCAATTGTAAGAGACTGAAGTCTGTTATCTTAAAAAGAAAACAGAAATGTCGACCCGTACCTATTAGAAAAATTAACTAAGTATGAATAGAGAGTCATTAAAATAGCTTTTTGATGTGTAAGTTTTACCCTTAATGCTGCTCTATGTGGTTGATATAAAGCAGAGAGCACTGCCTCACCTTGTTAAGCATTTCTTAAGAGTCAATTTGAATACACAACCTCACTGCAACTTATTTCGTCGTACTATTCCACTTTCCGTATTCGTTCATTTACTATGGATTTAATATCTTTTAATAGATAGTAGCATTCAAAATAAAATTGACTCAAAAATAAACAGTTGATTCCATTGGTAAACGTATCACGTGACTTTATCATGTAAGTTAGATTTTGAACATGGTTTGCACCATCGATACATGCGATAAACAATAATATCTGGATAAAGCATTCAAAAAACTTTTATCTTCACCAGCCCAAATAAAGGTAAGGAAATGGTAGTATTCGCAGGTGGGAGATCGATTAATCCGTAGAGTTGGAAAAAATCGTAACCACTCCTCTGCAAAACTTCGATAGAATGGCAGTACATGGGCCAAATTGATTGATTTTTCTCAAATTATATATTAAATTGTTACAAACGCTAAAAAGTTGCTACGTATCAAGTTTTTTCAAATATTACTATAAAAACTTTTGTTTCAAGCTATCTCAAAATGTAAAATGAACCAATGAAATAAAGCGCGTAATCAGTGCCAGTTCAGACATCAATGGGGTAAGTTTGGCCCATTATATCTCCTAAACAAGCACGGTGACCTATCTTTTTTATTATTAATTTCAAAACAGACATTGGTAGGCACGTTTTAAAAAAAAAATTGTTCGATAACTTTTTTTTCTGAGGAATCACCTTAACCTTGGGAGCTGACATTACACTTGTGCTCTATGGGAGATCGAGCAGGCACATCTGACTTTATACTAAACAATCGAAAGCACGACGGTTAATCTTGAGATAATCTCCAAGTTTAAGAAAACTCTCACAGATGTGAACTTTGCAGTGATGAAAAGTTCAAAAGTTTCATGCAAATAAAGCACTGAAAATTTTGAAAATAGAGAAACACGCCTTCTAAAAGTATCAACAAGAAACCCAGAGATATCTTTCCCTAGGAAAAGTACACCACGATTGTTGATTTTAACTGCGCAACAAGCTTATGAACAAGAATTGATTGTCAATTAAGATTCCTCTTTCGGTTGGAATCTGATTAGCACTCATCAGTGCGATTTATTTACAAATCGCACCATCTTTGTTACAATATACGGAACGGATATGCACGAAGAACAACTTCCCCATATCCAGCACCAAATTGTTTTAACTAAGAAACACTGTTCATCAAATTACGTGTAGCAACTGCAGTCAACACTTCATCGGAAGCACGACACGTTTCATCCAAGATCGTATACTGAAGAGAACACATGGACAATGAAAACTCCTCCGTAAAGAACATCTCAAAGTGCCAAAACAAAGTCCACAAAGGCATCGAAACGATCGAGACAATTATACGGTTCGAAGCATTCTACATACGAATATACAAACCTACCCTTAACTCTCGAAAATGTAGCGAATTCGCGGACCTTTTGTTCGAATGAATATTTTGTCATATCTAGAGAGACTCATTGCGTATTGACACTCGCTTATGAGATCATTTTTATCTTTACGCTCATAAGACACTCGCTCATAAGATCATTTTATCCGTTTTTATTCATATTTGTACCTTATTATTTATCATATATTTTTCACCTCGTATTCTTTTGCTTTCCACACGTTTTCACTCTACAGTTGTATTTAAGCCTTATGCAGAAATTTTTTCTCATCCTTGATGATGCCGTGGATCGGCGAAAGCTTGGATTTTAAAAAAGGTAAAAGATAACATCAATTTTATAGTGATTTAAGGCCTCATTTGAACTTTGGAACCTTTGTCTGACCAAACTGCAATCCACTTAGTTTCATTACCATGATTAACCAATTTGGATGCTATGCCCACCAAAGGTGTTTTAAGGGGAATTTAGGGCGTGGTCTCGTCAAGAGCTTATGAAGGAGATCGCATACAAAATTCAAGAGTCGTGAACTACTTTACCTCAGGAACGATCCGCGTGAATGCATGGTCCTGAATTAAAGCTGGTAAAAGAGCTGGACGCATACATTAAATTGAATTAAACCTAACAGAACGTGGAAAGAGCGGTAAAGATTTTTTTTATTTTCAAATTTTTTTGTTGACTAAAATTTGTCTAAAATTTTCTGTGGGATGTTTAACAAATGTTCACTTGAGTAGATATAGACTTGACTAGAGAATTGTCTCTCTGAAAGGAGGGTCTCAAAGGAATTAAACTTCGGCCGTCAAACAGTCTAACTTCACCGTCCACCTTCGATAAAAATAAATTATAACTGTCAATTGTCAAAAGAGTAGCTTAAGGGCAATTATCAAAAAGTTCCAAGGTCTTTGAGATCTTGTCAAAAAAAAACCAAAGGATAAAAATAATTTGGACTCAATATCCTAAAATCAAACCGTCAAAATCAGAAAAGAAAAATGATTAATCGTAAACCGTCGAAGCAACCCTTTGTTGAGACCCCTGAGAAAAATATTGTTCTTATGGGACCCCCGTTATGTTGATTAGCGAAATACTCACAAGGTTTCTCGGGCTAATAATGCACACGAAAAAAATTACGCGCCTCTGATTGGCTGAAAACGAATGTATTCTCTTGTAATACGAGTACAAATTACAAATAGCGCGCACGCTTTCAAAATTTCGTTTGTCATAACTTCCTGTTATGTTTTTTCATGAACATCATTAACAAGTAATAACATGATTCTCTTGTCCCACGGGCTCGTGCAATTTTGTTGTCTTCGAAAAATTTTCTCATGCTTATCAACACCAAATTGCATCCGAAATCATGTTCTTACCACTACTAATAATACACATGCAAAACTTTCAGCTTGCTCATCGGCTGAGTACACGTCAATTAACTTCAAACTGTGCAGAAAATCAAAATTGAGTGCAGAAAGTTGAAAATAAAATGATTGAGAGGTAAGTCACCAAAGCACAACAAAACAAAATGGCGGACAGGTGTGAAGAAAGTAACAACCTTTTATTAAGTGTTGGAGGGAGAATGCTAAAAACAAAAACACCCAACAAAGTAAAAACTGCTGGCTTTAAGTCTGACTTCCAGTTACGAATATGGAAGTATGAACCGGAGGCCCTGAATAGAATTCTTGAGGAGTTTTAGTAAACAGTTTATCCGAAAGACGGGAAAGATTACGAGCGTCATAGCTTTCGTGAAATGGTTATTGTTGTCGATGACACCCAAGTGCAAAAAAAGAATACAAACGCTTAATTATTCTCGAAATAAAGGTTTTAAAAGTTTGAAGAAAATTCTTGGCGAAAAAGCCCGACTACTCCGGCAACAAGGCAAAGGCCTAAATGGTAACCTATGAAAGGAATCAAAGACAACTCATATGGAAAACAGTCATCTTTTTGCGTGCATCTGATATCATTAACTAGTGATCACATATTTTTTCCCGTGCAATTTGGAATAAGTCAGCATCAGTAAATCTTTCAAAGACTACAAATTGCTTTTTCCCTACGGGCTTTTGAAAAATTGACTCCAGCTGATTTATCCCTATTGCACGCGAAATCATGTGATTGCTTGTAGTCATTTTAATTGCAAATCAAAATTTCAATTCAGCCTTTTATTCAGTTACTCTTCCACTTATTAAGGCACCTATGACAAGGATGCAGAAATTCGATAAACAGTCATCAGCTACATAGGATATTCATGCATCACTATCGCAAGTAGAGAAGAGAGCTTCAATATCAGTTCATGCTGGTGAAATAATGAAATAACTGTTCTTGTACGCGCATGCATAAAGCTAGCGATTGCCCCTAATTTCCAGGGATTTTAAATGCCCGGGAAAAATTGAGTTCCTGTTGCAGAGAGAAATTGAAACAGAGAATGTTCGTAGGCTCAGAGAACTCAAGCCTGCACTGGTCAGGTTCGTCTGCCCCCTCCCCTGCCATTTTTGTTAGCTACTTTGGTTGATTTCGTCTTCGGTATTCCTTAGCTACTACACTATTCTAAGACTTACTTCAAAATAAAAACGCCTTTAAAGACCAAGTATTATCGGACCTAGTCTTGTTTTATACATTTTACACATGTGCCCTCAACTTCGGGTTGGGATAACACATAATTTTTGGAGAAAGCATGTCCACATAACAAACAAGCATAATCAGAACTATCACCAGTGACACTTTTGCAGATTTAAAATAAAATAATGAAATTATTGATGAGAACAAAAATAAAAGCGTTAGGTGTTAAAACAGTATCATCCATGATATAAACATTATGTGAGTTATTGGTGTTTTTGAGTAGATATTCTGAGAGGAAACAATCGCAATTCTCAGTGCGAATAATTTCATTCTCTACCACTGGGTAAAGTATAACCTGGAATTTCATTAGAACATTCTGATGGACAAAACTCAAAATTTCTTTTACTTGCGACTAATCATTTCGACTCTGACCAAATTCATTCCAGAAAGGGGCCTCCATAAAAATTTATGCTCCTAGAAAGAGAATACAAAAATCCTCTTAGTCATGTCGAGGTCTTCCGTTAAATGTTGTTGTTGAACTCCAGCCTTTTGTGTCCCATTTCTTTATCTTCAGAAGAGTTACCTCGTCCTCTAACACTAATCCGCGAAAATGCGGAACGAGCTCCTAAGCAACTTTGCTGGCTCTCTGTGCTGACCTTTCGGCTCTTATCCGAGCAGATACTAACTTTTCTCACACGAGTCGTGGAAATATCGCTGGAGCGTCTCCTGAACACTTCGTCTACACCTGGGCCCTGAAGAACCAGACGGCGAAGAAGCACTGCAATTGTTCTGCGCATGTCGGGATTTCGGTAAGAGTACAAGAACGGGTTTACTGCACTTGAACAGTAGTGCATCCATTTGACGAATTGCAGCAGGCGGGCGAAAATGATCGGTGAAGGAAGGGACTCTGGGTCAAACGTAGCAATCATGGTCAAGACGAAAAGGGGCAGCCATGCGATGATAAATAGCATTGTTATGAGAGCTACGGTTAAAGACAGCCGAATCTGTAATGAGAAATTTGAGATAAACAAATGGAGTGAGGGAATATTTGATATGAAATGTAGTGGATTCGTTTCACCTTAAGGTACCATTTTTCAAAATACGGGTGTCCGACTCGAGGTACTTTTGGATGAGACACCAGAATATTACATAACGCGGTACAGATTGAACGGGGTGCATCCAGCATCCACTTTAGGAGTTGGAGCGGGCCTCTGATTGAACACTGTTTTAAAATTCCATCCCTTAAACACAAAATATAGTTCCCATTATTTTGTTTTGATGTTAAAGAATCATAAAAGAGGGGGTTGTTACCTACTGTCAACATAGGTATTGTCCACAAGTCTGGCAAACAGAAACCTAGAAGATGAAAAAGGAACAAGACTCACCTCTTTTTCCAAACTAGTCTTGTGGGCCTTTCTCTGACTTAAATTTCCCTTGCTCTTGGCAGCCACTAAAATGCAACTGTAGGCAGTGATAATCACCATCACTGGAATAAAGAAACACACACTTGCGGTCAGAATTGTATATGGCGTTTGCCACTCGGTACCATACTGTAACGGTTGCAGAGAAGCTAATAGAGCCGAGAACAGCCAAACCGATGCGACTGCGATATGGAAGGTTTTCCTTGGGAGCTGGCGATGCCTGAATGGTCTAAGAATGGCATGAGATCTCTCGATACTAATTCCAGTGAGCTGAAGGATGGACGCAGTTCCGATGAATATGTCGGCTGTTATGTATACCTGGTAAATGTGGCTATCTATCTGACGACCGTGGTAATCTGAGAAAGTTATTTTCATCCAAAATGGAAGCGAAACCATACCAACAAGAAAGTCTGCCATTGCCAACCCTATGACTAAGGTGTGCGTCACCGCTTTTCGAAGCCATTTGTTTGAAACGTACGCAGAAACGACGAGGCCATTTCCAGATAGACTTACAACCATAAGAAAGGCATACATTGCTAAAGATGAGTACAGCTCCGATAGAGAACGTTTCCGATGTAGGTTTGCTGATGGGTCGGTTGGAGACAACGTGGACAAGCCTGTCTCCAATCCTTTAGTGTAAGTGTTGTTCGATAGCATTGTATCTCAAATGTTTTCCTTGTATTTTCCTTCTTCTTTCTAATTTTCAGTGTATTTTCAGTGTTTCCAGGCGTTTTAGAGAAGACGTGGTTACTGCAGAAGCATAATATGATCCATTACTTCAGAGCTGTTTGCTTCATATTTAAGACAGTTCTGCAGACAAAGGAAGGAAGTAAACAATGTGTTAATTACATGGCAAAATTGATCTTTTTTACAAGACAGCAAAATTAAAAGAGCCCTCTCTTCATATCTTCACTCACGGTGATTGTTGTGATCGTCGTTAATTATAGGGGAGGTCTATGACTTAATCTCCCCATAGCTGGCTGAGCATGAATGGAATGTACTTCATGGCTTTGAAGCTGTGTAAAGGCGTCTGAAGTTCTCGATGCAGTGATGATAAAACCTGGAGCGTTAAGGATCTTTATCTTGATACCATGAAATATTTTTACCATGCCATCAAACGTCGGACGATTCAATTGTTTTATGATTACGCAACCACAAGCCCATAATTATCTTTTACCACGATGCCGAGGGACTGACTTGACATTCATCGGACCTACTGTTTCATTCTTGATAAGATCTGTCTAATTCATTTTTGTTTAACAGCAAAGAAAATAAGTAATAAGATCCTTACTTCTGAGATTAAGCGATGAAAACACTATAGATCTGAAAATTTCTTAATTACATAAAACTGTGTGATGTAGAATTTTTCAAATCTGACTTTTTCTCGAAAAGCTCACAAACACAGTCTATCTTTCTGATACGATATATCTATCGTCAGCAGTTAACTTATGTAAATTGTTAGAAAATTTTCTGCTCGTGACATTTCAGAACAAACACGCCTCAAAATGTCGTAAGCATTCTAGCTATAGTGTAGGCGCAGCACCTCTGATCCTGCGTAAAAGCAGTGTCCCTCTTGGACCATTTTTATCTTGTCAACCAATTCAGTTTCTTGATCGGCTCGGAATACACATCGAACAGCGCACAAATTTTCTATCAACATATACGATGGAAACGAAAATATAAAAAGTTTGAAGATGTTATGGAATGAGTTTGCCATCAAGAGAGTAATCGAAAAACAGCCTGACAAGTCCTTTTTGAGCCGCCAAGTTTCCGATTTTCTGAGTAGTTTAGTCCGTCTACTATCGCAGCTCAGATAATTGAGTAATTTTCTCCCACGCCGCTCCGGTGCACAATCACACGCCTTTCTTTTAACGCCATCATAAAAAAAAACAAAGGACTGTTTTGTGAAATATTTTCTCTTGTCCAGAATAAACTACAGATAATTACACAAACACAATGTCTAGGATACTACGTTAATCGCGGTAGTTAGTATTTCTATCGCGTACTTCAAGCCTCTAGGATGTTTTAAATGTCACGTGTTTGATCAACTATGTAGAGCTATAAATAAACATCTTTCATCAAATTAATAGATGAAACTTCAATAGTAGCCGGGATGAATATCTCTGAAGCAAGTATGGTGAACCAAGGTCACCTTAAAAATCTCTTATTCGCTGATTTGTCGCTTTCCATGACAACGTTAATTACGATATTTGCGTTTTGTCTTCAGTCTGGTAAGTAGCCTTTTGTGACATTTAAGTTCCCGACCTTGACCTGGGTGGGAACTGACAACGTTTATTACGATATTTTGCGTTTCATTTTCAGTCTGGTAAGTAGCCCTTTGTGACATTTGAGTTCACGACCTTGACCTGGGGTGGGATTTGATTGAATAGATAATTGACTTTTTTTTTAATGACATTTCCGGGGAGTAGGACGTTGCTTTTGTATTTAGAAAGTGAAAATTGATTTTCTCTTAATTGATGACGCAATATCGCATTTGACGATTCAATGGTAGTTAAACTCAAGGTTTATTGAAAGAGATTTCTGTTAAGAACGTGATTGTGACTCACCATTAGCGCTGAATTCTGAAAGTTTTCATTTGGGCACCAGAAAGCGCTGAAAAAAGAAAGTAACAACACGAAGCGATCGATCGAAAGTTGGAACGTGTAAACTTGAAACCTATATAGTTGTAAGTAAGGGATCTGCACTTCTACAAGACGAGAAGCTGAAGCAAACACGAAATTATGTTAGGTACGACTGATTCCACTGAGGTATATGATAATACCGAGGGTAATAAATAACACTTGTGTATCAATTTCTTTAACGAGGACCTTTTGGTTTCTTCTCCTTGTAGTTTAGGGCCTATCTTTGATTCTGTGCAAATTTGATACATAAAGGTTTGAACTGGTTTTATTTTTGTGAGCGTCCCCGACCACTAATCAATATCAATTGGACTTTTTTAATGGAGAGTTCAATACACTGACCACCAGGACAAGGTGTTCCTACATCTTGCAACCAACATTACGGCGAGCTCAGGCTTAACCAAATTGTTCTAGTAATATGGGGTAGTTAAAAGTTGACGTGCTCTTATTAGATAAAGATTAGGTCTGCGTTTACCAAGACTGACTTGTAAAGCTGCTACAGCTAATCCTAGTTTGCCTCGCTCACCGCTGTGCAGGAATAATGATCCAGTAATGGGAAAAAATCTGATCTTTCGCGAGAAACTGTAAGAAATAAGATTTCCATGAATTTTATCGAAAGCGTCTATAAAGCATTGAGAAGGACTGGCCACATCGAACAATTTCTTGATTTCATCAGTAACCAAGGACTGCGCATTCTCTACTTATTTCGCAGCGAATTTATTGTCTGAACGTTGCTACATAAAGCTGGAAATATGTTTGACCCCAACACAAAACAGGCATTTGAAATTTGTTTTAGGATAGGTTCAAAGCTCCACTTGAGTGAAATTTGCTTTTGACATTTTTAGCCTACAACGTGGAATAATAGAGTCTCACTGCTATTACAACTTTCAAGGGCCACTTCTGAAAACAAATCTAGAAATTGACATGTTTTGGAATGAAAAACGGTTACGGCAGCACAACCCCAACCACAAATCCTAAGAGTCCCTCCTCCCCCTTTGGGTAAAGTGAATCTTTGATGAATGATGAAAGGTGAATGTAATCCTTGATTTCAGCAGGTTCTTAATCTGATTTAATGGAGATATTATTCAAAGTTAACGTGGACTTTTACTTTTTTACTGAAGAAAGGACTTGCACCTCGAATTGACGGTTGAATAAATCATGGATTTTTTTAATTGAACAAATAAATCATGAGTCGGGTATATCCCATGCGGTTTTAAACGTTTTACACGCTTTTCTAAACCACGTGTCTGGCATTCTTCGTTTCAGCCTCAAGGCTGGTTACCCCGAGCATTGTGTCAAGTTTTTCCGAAAGTTCGTAAGTTTGGCCCAAACTCACTTCACGTCTTTGAATGCACTAATGTTGAACTGAATATCTTCTTATCTTCGATATCTTTGGCAAATATCGAGTGCGTAATTCTCATATCTGTGCTTGGTTTGTGTGTTCCGCATGCAACGCAATCGAAAACGATCAATACGCGCTCCAGGTAAATCTTAAACTCACTTTTTCTCTCTGACATTCTACCTGACGTACTTTCAATCAAAGTCTAAGGTATAGACTAATCCCAACTGTTATCACCTTCAGCAGTTCAGAGAGGCAGAATGTAAGAAAATTAGATATGACCACACACCTTCCAAAGGATTTGGTTCGACGAAAAAGAAACAATCAATTTCCTTGGTTTGAGAAAACATTAAAGCTGTTTTTATCGCTGAAGCCGTGAAAAACCTTCCCGTGCAAATGCTACGTTGTCGGCCATTGTCGCAAGACATATTTCTCGCTATTCTCCCGAGAGATACAACCCTTTCGAACCAAAATAAATTTATTACAAAGAAGTAAACAAGACTTCAAATTCAGTCAATGTAATATTAGTTCTCACCTGTCCAGATATCACAAATACAGCTGTCTTGTCAGTTGAAAGGATTGCACATGTTTACCATTGAAAATCAACTTTTGCAGAGGACAGAAACACTCAACTTGTTCGCACGTTAAAAATTCGTTTCATTTGGGCAGGAAGCCATAAACTTCACATGACTGCGTCTTTTATCCTTTTAATCTTCTAGTATAATATATTCAAATAAATGGCAGCTGTATGCATCATTGAACTTCCTCTCCTACTCTCTTGTAATGAACTTTCTGCTCCCATCTGTAAAATTCTAAATTCAAAAAAGAAATTCATATACGTGTGTCATCTTCAACGTTTGAAGTTCAGTTTTTTTCAGTATGAAATATACTTACATGTTAAATTGTATCTGATCTACTTCATTTACTCTTCAAATTTCAACATGAAAAATGATTTTTCAGAGAGATGTTTCATATTTTTGTGTTCTCTTAAAAAAAAAATGATATAAAATGATAGAGCGTCGACCGAATTCCCTATACCCACAGCAGCTGTGGACGTAATTTACTGCAGGCTCGGAATGATCATTGCATTACTGCGCATGCTCACGCGTGCAATAATATCGGAGCGCTCATGAATGTCATGCGTGCCGCTCCGCATGCTTGTAAGAATGCTGCTACTTTTTCGTTTGTAATACGAACTTTGTACAGATTTAATGATTGTGCTTTTCCAATTTGTTTTTTGCCAAATCTGGGACAGTTTTTTTAATATTTATTGTCAAGCAAGTAAAAATGCCCCTTTTACTTTTTTACGTAAACTGACATAAGGCAGAGAATTGAATTTGTCTTTTTCATAAAAAATATCGTCCTTAGGTTCAGGAAATTGAGATTAGCCTTGGGACCTGTCGACAGACTGGTCCACCCCATAAACCATTGCTCTCTAAGTAAAACCAAAACACTTTCACTGACCAGTTGTTATCCTCGGTAGAGAGGCCCACACGCTTACTCATTTACAGGAACAGGAGGACACATCGTGAACTATCTCGAAAATCATATCAACACTGATGATTAACGACTTTTTTCCGTATTTTGATAAGAAAAGACTTTTCCTCAGCCAGCAAGTATAATTAAATCAGGTTGATCGAAGGGAGAGGGGGAAGAGTTTTGTTAAGGTGATAACATTATTTCGAATGTAGTTCGCAGTTAATGAGCGCGAGTAAATTTTTTCAAACACAACTAAATTGCATGATTCCGTAGCGCAAGTGCAATTCATAGAGAACTCAAGACAGACGAAATTTTGACATTGCGCGCGCGCTATATAGGGTTTGCACTCGTTTTACAACTTTGCGCTCGTAATACAACTTTGAATTCTTATCACAACTTTGCACTCTTGTCACATGTAATGTACTCATTTTCAACCAATTAAGGGCGCTTAATTTTTTTTATGTATGTTATTACAACAGTTACAGGCGTAGGGAGTGTTTTGCAAAATAAATCCTTTTTTCCCACATTCTCAAGTAAAAGTATAAATTACTCCAAAAGACTCTTTGTCAAAGAATTCTTAAAAGGCTGATTTTCACACATCGCATGGTGGCACTTCCAACCTCTAACCGTAAAACCTAAATCCCAGACCCAGAACCCTGACACTGCCCCTAATTCGAACCCTGATCCTGACCCTGTCTCTAACCTTATCCCTAAAATCCTGACACTAAACCTAACCCTAGCCCTAATCCCAACCCTAACCCTAAAACCTTAACCCTAACCTGAGCATAAGCGCATAAAAGATCGCGCTCTACAGTTACATGAGTTACTTTGCCTGGTGAAAGAACAGGAGTCGAAGTAACACCAATGACAGAAAATTAGGGCGAAAGAGTGACAAAACAGTTAGTTTTCCAATCCCCTTCACTTGCCTGGAAAAGAAGACCAGTACACCTCAATTATACGAAACCGGCCCGCTCATGTTGTCATGATTTACCGTTGCCGGACGAATAGGGATCAACTGCAGTTCTTGGTAGGAAAAACCCTCAAAGACTGACGACGCAGTTTTTAGACCCGCCTTGCTCCCCTGGATCTTGACCAGAGGACTTAAACTGCAAACTCGTGTCTATTTGCCCGTAGTCTTGTGTCTAGAGAGGTAAAGATAGCAAGCATGACAGGGCCCCACCTCTCCCCCATCCCTCTTAAAAATATATTTTCCGTCGGTTCAGTACATCTTATCGTCATTACTGTTATCCTTTATCAGTTTCACAGTTTATTTGGGACCCAGAAGGTTATTTGAAGGCACTGGTCAAGAGGTGAGACAAAACCAGCCTTTGGGGGGAGTGATTAATCAAATTGTTGATGACAATCGCAGCAAAGTCTGACTTACACAGATCAGTTTTAATCAGTTGTGTTAGGCTCAAAGTCATCATCATCATATTATTATTATTTTCCTTTTTACCAATACAAAAAAAATAATCTACAGCATTACAATTAATAGAACGCGAGAAGATCCAGGAAGCCACGGGACTTATGGGAGAGGCCACTTCACTTACAACAATATATTAAAAAAAGAATAAGTGATGCTAATGTGTGGCTCGGCCAATTCAGTGATTATTAAAATAAAAAACAATTTTCATTTTGTCTAAGGCAAAGACGATTTGACCAACGAGTGACTGAACTAAAGAGTTTTTGGACCTTGGTAGAGAATTGTAGTTTGCTTGAGTCACGTTATAAAGCACGTAAATTAGTGTCGTCTGAAAATATTCTGAAATTATGTACGTAAGAGTAACAAGATGAATCATTTACCTACATTTCGTTTTTGTCTTTTATTTATTCGTACTTTACATACAATTCAATATATTCTCAGAATACCCACATAACATACTGTTTACTTGCAAAACTAATGTGCATGACAAACGCTAATGACACCAATACCTGACTAACACGCATAACTCGTAAAAAAATCATTTATGTAAATACCACAAGTGATTGCTTACTTCAAGGGGGCAATACTTCATATCGCAATATATCGTTTCCTGTTTTAAAGTAACTAGTGAAATGACGAAGGCCACTTTTCCTATACCTTAACGTTTTTCTTGGGATGTTTCAATTAATAGTTTCAGAGCCTTCCGAAGAAAACCTCACATATGTAGACATTGGTGTCCACTACAAGAATACATTAATGTCTATCATATGATACATTAATGTCCATCATATGTATACGTCAAAGCCCGTCCCTTAGTTGCCATTAGTTTATGCCTTCATTTGCGCCGTGCAATGCCCCCTTTTGCCCGAATCGTAATTGAATCTGGTAGAGGTTACCGCGCTTGTCCAAATTATTCGGTAGTCCTTCTCAGATGATTTTTCAAAAAATTTGTGGAAGACCTGAAAGTGTTAAGATTCCCTACCATCTTCATGAACTGGCGTAACTTAAGAGATTTTAAATATATCGAATAATGTAGTCAGTGCATCATTTTGAGAATAGCTGTAAGTCTGACACCCTTGTTGAGAATGCCTACTGCCTTTTTATCACTGCGAATCAAAACTATTCAACAAGGATCTACTCATGTTCGTCGAGGGATCAGTGTCACTTATTGGTGATTTATCTGCCGAAGTTTTCTCTTGCTCATAAATTGGTCATTAAGCTAATTAAAGATACTTTGTTTGTCTATTACTAAGTAAGGTAGAATAAAGGTTAAACATTTTTGTTAACATAAAAGTGACCTAACAATGAAGAAAAAAACTTCTGGAAAAACTTTTTCCAACAATAGGACTTCTACACATCAAGCACCTGAATATGGAGTTTTTCGTTAAAGAAGAAACTCGCAAAGCTGTCAATAAAGAGTAAAGTATTCCCGTATAACGATTACATGTGATTTCTTCATCCAATGCGTCTCCTCAAGGAAATCATCTCGGTTTGCAGAAGGTAAGGTTTTACTCACATGGACCAGGGGTTTGCGAAGCGCTCCTGATGTTGGTGGATGACAAATTTCTGGGACCAGAGTCCTTGACTGTGACCTCGTTGCCCGTAGTAACGATTACTGGAGCAACTTGGGATGCACAACCGAGTATTCGCTTCACTGCACTCTTAAAGTTCGGCAGTCGGAAGGCGTAAAGAAAGGGATTGATGAGAGAATTGATTGTGATGAAAACAAAGTGGAAATCTCTCAGCCAGTGAATCAGCTCACAGCTGCATCCCTGGCAAAGATTCATGAAATAGATCATGATGCACGAAGGTATGTAACAGGACAGAAAGATGCCAAGCATGATCAGATAGGTTTTAGTGAGCTTATTTTCCATCTCTATGGCTCGTTGACGAGCCTTATTTAGCTCTGTTTGACCGTCGGTCAAATTGTCGATTTGGGTGATTTGGTTTTTGGCATACTGAAAGATACGCACATAAGAGAAAATGAAGATAAAAATAGTGCAAAACATCGTAATGTTGGCAAAGACAAAAGCGTAGGCCACAAAGCCGACAAAGAAGAAAATGGAGGTGGAACAACATGAAAGGATCCAAACCAGGGAGACAGCTGTGGCTACACGCCCATAATTGGCGTTGGCTCTGTACCACAGAGGCTTTGTTATCGCTAAGTAGCGATCGACAGTAAGTGCTGCAAGACTCAGCAGAGACGCCGTGCAACACAGAAAATACACAGATTGAGAGAACCATGACATGCTGATGGACAAGCCTCGAGACTCTCTGTAGTGCGTGTTAATGGACAACGGCTCTACCAGCGCACCCACGATAAGGTCTGTGACGGCAAGATTTGCCACCAGAAGCGTAAACGGGTTTCGAAGATTTTTGTTGGGATCGAATAGAACTGCCAAGATGACCATCAAGTTTCCTGGGACGGTTGCTATCATGAAAACGATAGCTAACACCATTGTCGTTATGGAAACCTCAGTTGGAGCCCAGACACCGAAACAGTGACTCGCTCCAAGCCCCATCGCAAACGTTCTTTAGCCTGTAATTAACCACATTAATCGCAATGTTATCTGAAAATGTTCAGCACTAAGAAGCTTTGCAAAATTACACAAAAACCATTCAGGCAGCCTAAGGTAGAAGACCTTTTGAGTTAACATGAGTTGTTCTAAGTAAAAACAATTCTAAAGTAAAATTATCTTAACAGGAGAAACTAACATGAACATTTTGAGGGTTAGTGGTGTATTACAGAGACAAAGCCTTATTGTTGAACTCGCCTTTGCAGATCTTGATAACGTGGATTTCGTGTACTTTTCCATTTCACTTATTGGGACCCTCCAGTTTTCTGATCCGGCAGGCAATTTACATGAACTTTGTGGAATATTTGCCGAATAATCCAATAATATTAAATCAGAAATGATGAAATTCATTGAACTTTGAAATCATTTACCACTGCGTAAAATTCAGACGTGATGATTTAAAAGCTTTTCAAGTGAGTTTCAACAACCCAAAAGAGGTAAATGTGACGGTAAAAAATGCAATAAGTCGACACTTTCTATATGCATGAAATGACAACTCGGTGATAAATGTTTCATGAATGTTTTAAAAACGGCGGAGGCACTTCTGCGATTAAGGAGATTTTCGAGTGTGTTCCAAATATCCATAAAGTGGTCTATTACACCAGTAAACTGATAAAAAGTGCGGTCGGCTGTCTTGACAGAAGTTACGGTACAATGAGCGATAGATCTTTGATAAATTATAGGAGAGAGTAACTCTATATTGCAATTGATAATTTCAAGTTAAACACATTTAAATACAATGAATTTTCTTAGATCTTTCAGTTATTTTGGAGAAGATAAAGATTCTAAAAAACTTACCTCTGTAGTAATAGTGACTGGTGTCTCAAGAACAACTATTTGAAAACAACGGGGCACCCAGTTATTCGGATTTCTTGAGGGTAGTATTGAGTAGTTGTCAGTTATCAGTTATCACTGGTCCTCTTCTACATTTTAGCTTAAAATGTAGATCTGAAGCGATAATAAATTTTTTTAGAAGTAAAAAGGGAAGCAAGAAAAATTGCAGGGAGAAGTTTGACCAAGTTTGCAACAGTAACCCTTCTCAGTGTGATAACGTCATCAAAGGGAATTTCTAGCTCGCGGTTAGGGTTGAGCGGAAAAGTAACGACGTCTTATCATAGCGATAAACAGTCCAAGTCCCTTCTGAGGATTTGAATCTCAGAGCTTCGGTTTCCATGTTCCGACGCTATAACATTGGGGGACCAAGACTCTAAGCTTCTTTTCTCTTCTATGATTTTTATTGAAAATATTTAGTTCTTAGTTATTGGTTCACTTTAAGAACCTTAAAACACCCCAGTATAGACGATACGATGCATTTAATGAGAAGGGTAAATCATGTTTAAAGTGATCTTCTATTCGGTCTGAAATGAATCCAAACTGCAAAAAATTGACACGTAGTGTGAAGTGGTTCTTGAGTTGTTCATCTTGGTATTCCGATTTATACCGTGTAGCCAAACAGGGCTGTTTCAGCCTCTTTTAAGATTTTCAGGTAGAAAAGTGTACTTCAAACGCTTTCTTAATAGTGTGAAGTGTCTTTCGATATATATATTGGTGCTCAGTCTTTCCAGAAAGTGTTGGTTGCCTCTTAAACCTCAGTTTTGAAAATAGTTCTCCTTAGAACGATTTTACCCAATTGATTTTGCTAATGCCCCCTTTTATTGAGCTTTGTATCTCATATTATTTCACCATTTTTAACGACAATTCCCCTTTTTCGGACATTAAAAAAATTAGTGGAGCGTGTCAGCCCAGAATTGCAAAACTATGGAATAGTTAACGATTTATGAAACTTTTGTTTTCTGTGGTAACAGCAATCTTGGTATCAAGACATTTCATCAACTAACCTTAGTTCTGGCTTCGTTCCCTCCTCCAGCAGATAACCTTGCAATTGCCACTTTTCGCCTCATTTCCACAGTTTAAACCTTGAAAGGATTTCCTTAGAATCGGGTACGGACCAATGACTATTTTGTTTGATGTTCTTTGCCCAGCGACCAAGTAAACTGACTTTTGTTCCATAATGAAGTAAACTTGAATAAGAATATCGTGCATCATCTGAAGGAAATGTTATATCCGCAATTTTGTTCTTAATGAGTTCTTTAGATAAGTGAATAAATAGCAAGGAATTAGTACACAAATGAAGACGATTGTGAAAACCTTGTCTTTGGCACCTTTCTCTCCACTGTCTTCCCTCAATTCAAAGCCGCGAAAAGTTTAGCGGTGGAAAGTGTCCTGCGTATTGTTGGGATAAAATAATCTCAATCATGATCTTAAAATTTGTCTCTCAGTTACCTTTCCTGTGGAAGTTTGTTTTTGTACCACGACTGTAAAGGGGCAACTTTGAACTTAATTGTTATCAACTTATCACGAAATTCAAAGAGCCTAAATTATTGATTCATTAATGATCAACCATTTGCAAAATGCGCAGAGGGCAGTATAATAATGTCATGTTTATCTTCATCTATATAACTATATTTACAGAAATGTCATCAGGCTAAGTTGAAAAAAAAATTCGAAAATTGGAGATCGTTAAGTGGTAATAAATTTGTGGATGAAAGGGGAGCGAAAAAGATGAGCGTAAATTAACAAACCTGCATACATCCTTATGACCAGCCTTTTATTGTGCTAAAAGCTGATTCCCATTAAAATCACAATTATGAAAATAACTAAGTAAATTGTGCAAAAGACCTAACGTGTCTATCAAAATTGCGTTTTGTTTGGATTTACAAGATCAAAACGGAAGCAACTAATGAAACATACGTCCCTGAAATGTATGCTTAGCTTGCCCATCTGATTGCTGTAGTTGCTTTCTTTAACCAGCCGCAGTCCCCCGTGGGATGAATATTTGTTCAAACACTCTCATGGTAAGGACTAATCGAGTATCAAAATAAATGTATTTTTAAACTTTTTGAGTTGAAGGGTGAGATGAGTACATGGATTTAGCACCTGCTTTGAATGCAATTATTTTATTTTCCGATTAAAGGAAAACAAGGATAAGTGAAAATTAAGTGCCTTTCGGAAGAACAATCACAGATCAAATAATGAAATATTTTTTTCGGCAAACGGCAAAATGTGAAACCAAGCACTCGGAATTTCGGTAAAAATCGTGTTTATTTAGCCCGTAAAGTTATTTTCAGAAATATTCGACAAAGATGTGTGATGAGGATCCTAAACAAAGCAAACTTGGGGCAAAACTAAAGAATTTCTCTGTCATAAATCAAAAATAATATATGTTGCTATTTCACATGTTCTTCTTCTTCTTTATAGCAAAATATCGTAATTCTGAATAAATTAAAATTAACCCGTTTAAAAAAAAAAAAAAAAGAAACACCAACAAAACAGCTGTTTACAAATTTGAGCTAGTATGGTTTTTTCCAATAGCTGGCAATATTTTTTTTCAGTATCAGACCAAAGCCAAAGAAAAGAACAACATAGAAATACAGATCGATTCAGAAATGATTGATGTGAAGAAGCAAATTTTAAAAAAACTCATTAAGAGTTATTTTCACTAGGATCTTCGGTATTTTCCTATGAAACTGTGGGAGAAATTAGAAATAACGATATGCGTACTTTTTGGTTTATACAAAATTAAAGCAATTAGTTTCGTTGTTATTTAATTTTTTCCCATAACATACTGCTAAGGCAGATGGCAAAATGTGGCACGAATGATTTTTAATTGCCTCTTTTGATGTGAAAGCACTGAACGTTGAACCGAGGCGCAGACTGAGCTGTGAATAAATTTACTGCACTGAGCAGGAGTCCTCCTCGTCTGACTTGGAGTTACTAAGCCCTAAGAATCAGAAACTGTAAAAGTTTAACTGACACGAGAAAATTCAATAAATTTTGATGAAATAATATGGCTTTTTTATCGTTTTGATTTTAACTGGCGATACAATTCCAAGTGCTTATTGAAGCATTTCTACTTTGTAAACCTTTCTTCATCCTTTTCATGATAAGAATAATGCTAACGACACTTTAGGTATCAGTGACTGAGGTCTCATATTTCTACCTCGACAGGCCAGGTTGAAATACGGTTCATTTTGAATGAGTAGCACACTTCCGTTGGTGGTTTAAGTTTCCGAATAGCATAGTGCAACCACAATAACAAACTCCAATGTAATACTTCCAAATGCAAGGTTTTGTCTATAATGCACAAGAAAAAGTATTCACTTCAAGACTATTTTAAAGGCCTCGAAATTTATTTCGCGTGCATAAGGAAAAGGTTTTGGGTGTAGTTCTTCGAACCAGCTTACTTGTCACTCTCATTTGCTTATTATCTCGACAAAAGCTCACAAACTCAGGGCCGTAGCCAGACTTCAGAACAATACGAGGCAAGTTTCGAGCGCCGAAGGCGCGAGTCGCGAGTCGCGAGGGGGGTTTAGGGGCATGCCCCCCGGAAAATTTTGAAAACTAGAAGCTCAGAAATGTTCTTTAAGCATTTCCCGTGGAATTTTTCTTCAGAAAAGTCAATCTTGTCAAGTCAAGGCGAGGCAATTGCCTCGTTTAGCCTCATGCTAGCTACGGCTCTGAAACTTCTCGGTCTGCTGAAGAGACATGTCCCATGTTAACTAAAGTGTCAATGAGAATGTCCCTATATTTAGCGGTGGTGTAACCCCTACCTCTGTTATGCTACCAAGTACTAGGCTCTTACCCAGAAGTCAATAAATTTAATATGGAGCAGGTTCAGAGGCGAGCCACCAGATGGATTTTTGAGTTTAAAGCCTCGCCAGATGTCTTGAAGAGAAGAGGTTGCTTGCTTACGAGAGAGAATCGTGGATTCTGATTAATTTTATAGGGCAGTTTAAAGCCATAGTTGTATTGACGTTATTAGTTAACTAATCAGTAAAAATCATACATGTGCGCGCCCCGGCTAGTCTTCTGGCTACCCCCTTACTGTCCCGGCCTTAAGACCAGCACTTTTAAAGCTTTAATTATATTCAAGAGACAATAGAAAATCAGTTTATTTTTCTCTTGTTATATTTTATTCGTATTGTAAAACTATGGAATATCTCTCAGACTCACGTTCACTCCACCTGGAAAAATTGTGAGAGTGTGACCCACATACCTCTCGCACGCGGCCAGTGTGTCGTGATGTGGAAGAGTTTTACCCAGGGGAGAAAATTGAGACGCAAGTAAGCATTGAGGCAATTTCGACACTGCCGATTGTCTCAAACATTGTCCTGTTAAATGAAACACGCTACAAAACCATGTAATATCTCCGCTATCAAAAGTAAATCAATTCTTCAGCGTTTTATGGTTGTAAAGAATAGACTAGCCTCTCAAGAAAGTGTACATATGTTCTCAGAATTGGAAGATAGATGACACTATTTTGGAAACAATTCACTAAGCTGGCCTCACATGCACTTCATGGCGAGAACCTCAATACGTGGTTTATGGGCAATTAATGCCTTGTTCGACGCAAAAATGATTTTCTGCGTCAATAATGTTTTCCAGCCCTTGTCATTCACACAGAACGCTTCAAAATTAAGTGGGAGTGGAATTAAACTCCAAGTAGGTTACATTTGCGACTCAAAAGGGCAGCACCATGATCAACTTTTACGTCTTTACCACATTGGAAGACAATTTTTGGAAAGGTAGGTTACTCTATTGAATCTCATCTCCGTGTATGTTTCATACTTTTTTTGGCGGAGTTTATATCTCCTTTAAGCAGGATCCAACGACAAAGATACTTGCTATTTCCTTGGCTAAACAATGTCAACACTTTGCTTTGTCTATTGTGTAAACCACATACGCCGAATGTGAGGATGGTGCATGATTTAAAAAACGAAACTAGATAGAGCTGAAGGAAGGAGTTTGAGGTAAACAGGACAAGGGAAGAAACCCTTCTGTGGTGGCGAGTCTCACAAAACGTTTTAAATGGTGTAGTCAACTGCTTGAATACAAGATTAAAAAAACCTGTCCATTTAACAAATGACAGTTTTGGATCATGATTTTTTGTACGAAGAATTTGGTAGTTTTGACCCTAAAAAGAGCGAAAATTATTTACGCTTCTCATTTAAAGCATATGATTAGCGTGTGGACTCTAATGCACAATAACGTTAATTTTCTCAGATCACAATTAGAGCAATTTTCAAGTAATAAACTATGTTGAACAGGAATAGCCAGAATGCGTGCCAAGTCGTCATCTGATTGAGCTACTTATTGTCTTCGGAAAGCGTTATTAAGATTTGAGCATTATCATTTAACCCTGAATACTCAGAAAGGCCGTTCACATGGTGACAGAGAAAGAAAGGACGCAGAGTATGACATTAACGTTGTATGCATTAACTTTTAAATGTGATTGACAAGCGAGCCAGTATAAAGACAACTCAAGCTCTGTTTCTCTCGCAGTTTGCTGCACATTTATTCAAACTCACAGCTTAGGAAATCTCTGATCCACAATGTCGTTGGAAACTAAATTCTGGGGTCAACGTCCTTTCTGGGGCTTATCCTTCGATTTGGATCCGCAATGGTATCTGACGGATGAGCAAAAGGAAATTCAAAGGAGGTTGATTGAGCTTTGCAGGACAACCCTACGACGTAATGCGGTGAGTTTTGCACTAAATTAGCACGCCAGGCTACGTAAAAATTTACCCAAAAATTCCTACAAACTCTGTGAACTCCGGCATTTTTACAAAATGTCATTGAAAACATGTGCCTCAGTAAACGTTCTTTTAATGCTATTCTGACTGTATTAAAAATAACACACGAATCAAATTTTGTTAAAGAAAACGATATTATATGTCCTTTAATTTGTTTTTAATGGTATTTTGACAAGTTACAAACTTAAATTTTTTTCCTTTTTTTCAATGTCCTAAACACCATGCGTGCTGCTGTCTAGTAAAACAGCGATAAAAGTGTTTATTACTTATCGCTACAATCTCATCAACGTAACGACCAGCAAACTGCAAGTGCTTGGAAAGATTTAACACCCCAGCTTCTAGACACCATCTGAACTGTTACCCTAAAAAATTTAACTGAAAAAAAATTCAATTCAGAGCCTCGGGCAAATTTCAGATCACCTGAAGACTGCTGCAAATAAAAAAGAACAAAAGTGAGACACTTAAAATGACTCCTTGTAGTTTTCTCTACACATTGTATTTCATCCCTAAACTTCTTTTCAATTACCAATTTCGCGGCCTTCACAATAAGTAAAGCAATTAGCGATCTTCATAAAAAGGGCGTTTATTGAAAACACATTACCAAGGTAAGATTTGATAAAAGCTCGGACAATAGGTGGTAGAAATGTATTGTCACCTAACAACTCAATAAAGTGTCCAGTTGTCACGAAAAGAACAATTTTGCATGTTTATCGAAGAAGAAAAAAAAGTAAATTTTAGGTTCAGTAATGAAATGAAAAAGGTTTTTTTTATCGTTTTGTCACGAGTGTGGGAAAAGAAAAAACAAGCCTGCAAGTTTTTCGACGATTCAGTGACGTCGGTGAACATTTTTAGCACAGCCGGTTTGAGTTGTTTAGATTGCACAAGCATCAAAGTTGTTTGTCGTACAACTCATCGCTACATATCATTCATGAAATAGCTTAAAATTAGTAAAGGAAGGCTCCACTGACTCTATACAGACCACTTCCCTTTCTGTTGGGGTCTGTCGGGTGTTTTCAAGGAAAATTAGGTTCCTTATACCACTCTGCATAGTTCCACATGAGAACTATCTTTATCTGAATAAGATGACTTCACACTATTCCACTGCGCAACCTTACAGTGCATAATGTCATGCTTAACATGCGAACTCTGAGTTCCGGTCACCAAACTTGCTATTCTGTTTCGTGCTGCCGTCGACCATTGTCATAACGGACACGTTAAGGTAGAAACAGATATAACAGATCAAAATCCCTGATCAAACTTAAGGAAAAAGACCTTTTGGACTCCTTGAAATATCACAAGTTTTTTTTTCCGGTAGGTCTGTAACATGATTGACAGTAGCATAAAGCAACTCCATAACAAAAATTATTTGATGGTGCAAATTTGGCATGATATGCTGCCGCCTGGTTAGCTCATGCGGATGAGCGCCGGACTACTGTACGGAAGGTCTGGGTTCAAGACCCAGACCAGACCCACACTCAGGGTCTTTAAATAACTGAGGAGAATGTGCTACCTTTGCTATGATATCTGCAAGCGATTAAACATTCTAGTCTTCTCGGATGAGGACGAAAAGCCATGGGCCCCGTCTCCTGCAGGTAGGGGACGTTAAGGAGCCCACACACTTATCGCAAAGAGTAGGGAACGTAGTTCCCGGTGTAATGGTCTGCCCTAGAAGAACCTTTACGAACCTGACCGAATCTGAGCATGTAAGCCTTGCAGAGGGGGAATGCTCGTAATATGGTAAATAAATCAAAATAATAAATATATCAATACTACCACTTTTTTGTAGTTGGTATCGGATCAGTACTACGAATATCCTCACAAAAACATGAAAGCTCTTGCCTCGCAAGGCCTTTTGGGGCTAATTATACCCAAGGAATTTGGTGGCATGGGTCAGAATCACGTGTGCATGGCTATGGTTGTGGAGACGATAGCCAGATATGGCTGCCCTAGCACTGCCATGGTGTGTGGTGAGTATCATCAGTGTCAGCAAGAACCCGAAGTTATATTTCGATTCCGCCACTGCAAATTGTACATTGAATTTACATGAAAGGTGTCTCGCAAAAAAATTTAAAAATTGTAGACAGTTTTGTGACTTCGGTGGTCAAACCTTTGTAAATGTCACTTTTGTGCATCTTCAACATATCCATTCTTGCGATATATATTATGTTTTAATCTAACACGAAATATTATTTCCAAAAAGGCAGAACTTGAAGGGAGATATGTTTGACTTATTATTTTTACTAATATAGTTCCTCGAGTGGATTTCAAATCCAAAAGAAAGTTTCTTTGCGTATCTTAACAAGAGAAAAGGGGGCATCATTTATTAATTTTTGTGGATAGAATTGAGAATGCAGTTTTCGCAAAACCGTAAGCACTAGCTGGGGACTTCCCCGCGTTGGTGGCAAAAAGATTCCATTGGGCAAACATTGATTGGTGCAATTTTAATCCAGGAATTTTTTTGTCGACCAATAGTGTTTGTTCTCTTACAGTTATGCATTACATTGCCGTGGGCTCTTTATTGTTTCGTCATCACAACAATGCTCTGATCCAGGACCTTCTTCGGCGAGTAAACGAGGAGACGTTGATCGGAACAATTTCTTACAGCGATCCAGCCACTGGTTTGCATTTTTGTTTTTCTTCGTTCAAAACGTCTGTCCTACTTTAACGTAATAATCCCCTAAAAGATTGCAAGTTCACAAACGATCTTTTTCAAATTTCTCAATATTAACTTTGATCATATATGGATCCATGATGAACAGTTTATTATTACATTTTCAACACTTTTAGTGTAATAAACATAAAATAACATTCAGCGTGAAGATAAAATTTACTTTGATTTCCTTGTGTCATCTTACGAACGTTTTTGTCACTAGGAGGTCACTTCTGGTACCCAATGTCTTCTCGGACTCAAATGACCGCGGATGGAAGAATTAAGATATTGAAGTGTGGATCCTGGGCAACAAGCGCCGGACTTGCAGATTTCTATGTGATTACTACAATCAGTCCACAGTTTGACGGCGATTTCTCCCATTTGTCGAGCTTTCTTCTTTACAAGGTATGTATAATGCAAGTGAAATTTAGGGTTGGAGCGGCAAAAATTTCAAAACATTGAGATCATCGGTCAAATTCTTGACACAACTATGCATTCATGAAAAAAATTTGCGACGGTAGACTTTGATTGGTGGATGATAGGCCTCGCTTTCATAGCATCTCTTCATCTGCAAAATTGTAGACTTATTTTATAATTTTTAGCCCTGAGTTTTCCCTTGGAGTAAATGACGCCTTCAATCGAAGTTTATCCTTACACATCCTTTAAACGGTACAATAATCCCTTAATAAATACTGAATTTTAGAGTAGAGATTTTGGAGTCCCCTTCCATTTGACGAAAGCCAAAAAATAGTAGTCTAACTTAGAAGAAAAAAGAAACTAAGAAAGAAGTAATCCATGAAGTACATTGGAGGTAAGCTGTAGTCCGCAGTTTGTAGTTTTTCTTTTTGGGGGAATTGAAGTTATCCGGCAGAAGAAATCAATAAAAAAGGTAAAAAATGTTGAAAATTCAAGGAGATTATTGAGGACTATCAAAGAATATTACCCTGAACATTGTCGTACCCGTCAACTTTTCAGGATGAAGTGCGCGCCGACAACGATGACTGGAAGTCGCTTGGGATGCATGGCAATCAGTCAAGACCAATGGTTTGTGAGGCCACAGTCGACGAAGATCGGCTTATTGGACCATATGGTAAGCTTCTCTTTAATGGAGAGGTCTGTGTTATGGTCAGCTTGTACGTTAACCTACAATCGTTAAGGAAGACCAGACACATTCCCTGTCGCTCAACGCTTAAGAAACCGGGGCTAATTGCAAACTCAACTTGAGCACTTTTCGTAACTCTTTTTTCCACGCAATGATTAGGAAACTTTGCTTAAGTTCATGTAAAAAGTGAACGAACACTCTTGCAACACGTTAGTATCTAGTAAGAGAAACAACCTATTTCATTAATATTTATCAAGAGAGAATATTTATCCTCTCTCGCATTCATCATTGTACAGTATTAGAAAATAGTTTGCCTTTGACGGGTCTTATTTCAGGCGATGGAAAGGCAGCCATTGATGAAGTTGGGTCGCCCAGGTTCTTGCTGCTGACAGCAGCCTGCTGGAATGGTATTGCTATGGGAGCTATGGATATAGCTCGGCATCACGTGACCACAAAAGAACATGCTGATGTTGGAATGCGCATTGCTGATTACCCGACGATCCAAGTGAGTGAAAGAATTAATGTGCCATTAACCCCCCAATTTTTTTTCTTTTTTCCGACAAAAACTAAATCTCCTTGTCTTACTAATGACAAATTCGAAAAAATTAATTTCGCGTCTATTTTAGTTTTTCTTTTTTTTTTAGAATTTTAAAAGATCCCAAAATTGTCCTCGTTCATGGTAGGGAAAATGGGGCGGGTTGGCTTATGACCTTATCCCCGAAACCGGTTGATATTATTCATTTCATTCAATGAGAAAGCAGTCACACCTTAGAGAGAACTAGAGAATTTAGCCCAAAAGGCTGTAGCGATACTGATTCCTGAGAAGATGGTTCGTCTTCATACCATCATAATTGGGGTGACTCCTTAAATATTGCCCTCGAGCGGAGTTGGTTTTGAAAAAAGCCATCACTGTGTTCTTGAGGTTAAGTAAAGCCAAATGACATTGTGTAACAAAAGGGAATATTTTCTTCTGTAAGCTACTTTCTTTGTTTTTTAAGACTTTCTCTTCGAGTAAAATCAGCTTCAGAGATATATTTGTCCAAAATTTCAATTGGGTATTCTCTATTATTACAGCGTATTTTGAAAATCTGTTCGTTTTTACCAAGGTTGGAGCGTGAGAAATTTGTTCTTAGGAAGCGTAGCGCTTCTCCTTTTAGGAACCCCCTTTGTTTACACCTGAAGGATCACGCGAATAGAAATTCGTGTATCGGAAGGTCTCTGTCTCTTGGTAATGTGCTCGTACGTCAAAGGTCAATTACCTATCTCTCGCCTTTGACACCTTTGAGTCCGAGAATGTTATTTCTGTGGCAAATCTAATTTCTGAGGCATCTTTCAGTTGTTCATTTGAAGGGTTTGTGATGTGATGCTAGCGTGACCTTTGTCTATGTTTTCTTTAGCGATTTTAATCTTTAATCGCTTTTTTTTCTATTTTGGCTACGTTTCACCCTTGTTGTTTGTTTCTAAGGTGGCAGAGAATGCACCTGTACAGGATTCAACTTGTCTATTGCCTGTTTGGGCTCTCAAATTTGCAGAAAGCTTGTCGACCTCGTTCAGTTTGACCAGCGCCTCTGCACGGTCACGCTCTGCTTTCTATCTAATCAAGGTTAGGTATCTGATTTAAAACCCTCATGTTCGCCTTACTTTGTATCTTAGGCTTTTTTCGGCATATGCCCTTCTCGAGATGAGCTCGTAAGATTCCAATAGACTTCTTTCTTAATAGTGTTGGGGATCTATTAACTCCATTTCACCGAGGCTTCGCTTTCGGGGTGCAATCAATTTCCTCTATCTCCGCGTCATATTCCGATAGATTTGAAGCTTCGGATGCTTCGGAGTCATATAGTCACTGTCTGAGTTTGAGTCTCTGGATGTCAGGGCTTTCTTCAGGTCCTTTCTGGAAGATCCTCGATAATTAAAAAGGGAAATTCTCAAAGGAATTTCTTGTCTTAGCGACGTGTCTTAAGTTTTTCATTGCAGCTTTGTAGCGCAGTTCCCGGGATGACGTAACAACGTTCCTTGACCTCAGGTTCTAAGATGCGAGGTCGTGAACATGTAAAACTGAGCTTTAACTGCTGCAGAATTGCGAAGTTTTATTCGATTACAGTAACTCTTTGGATGTGATGATCAGTTAAACAAGGAAATTTCTTTTGTGGAAAAAAAAGATTTAGTGTTAGTGGCACATTAATCATTTTTGGGTTCGAGAAACTGAGTTTTTTTCTTAAATTCTCACCATTTTGATTAACATCATAACAGGCGGCAGGAATTTATGTTTATTCAAATTTAGGGTAAAAAAAAGGAAAAATGTCAACATGCTCTTCTGGAATGGAACATTTGACACGGTTTCATTACCTGATGATCACTTTTGCGCGTCTACTTTCATTAAACCTGCGCTTCCGAGCGACACAGAATATAAACAAACTTTTAATTTCAACCTTCATTAAGGATTACTTTGGAGACGCAGTGAGTGGTACCAATGCATGTCGGATAATGGCATTCTCCGTAGCTCAGCTAATGGACCACGTCACTGACAACAATGACTGGAATATTTATAAGGACCCCAAAGCTTCACTGCGGTAAGTCAAACGGTTCCCTAGTCTTAACCCTTTAACTCCCAAGATCTCTTCAGCAATTCTCCTTACTGTCTGCCACATACTCCTTATGACGTTAGTTTAGAGGATTTGGTATTGGATCAACTAATAATCCCCTAATTAATATTTTTCTTCCCTCTCATCACTTGTCTGCTTGATATTGTATTGATATTTGGAAGGAGAAATTCTATCTCGGTCACTCATGGGAGTTAAAGGGATAAAGAAGTCAGTGAGCTTCACTCGGGTTGACAATTATTTATTTGAAAATAAAAAAAAAACATTTTATCATGCGTGCTCAAACTTCATTTTGAAAATGAAAACATCAATTTTATAGCTATACGTATACTGAGAAAGCGCACGTACTGGTGGCCTTTCCTTTTTTTCTTCAACGAAAGAAATCGAGAATCGGTTTAGTATATTTGATACGCGCCGACGAACCATAACGTTGGTGAGGTTAGCAAGACAACGGCAAACAGCAAAAACTAATTCTGGTCTCATTCCCCTTTCTTATAATTCGTAAATAAATAGTCTTCAGGAAAACAAAGTGTAAAGAAAGATGTTTATTCATCTCGAGCGTGGGATAAGTAAAAAATGATGAGTTCCCATCAGAGATCGAACCACAGACCTGATAATTCTGCAATCCGAAGCTCTGCCGCTGAGTGAAAGAGACGTTTCGGTGATCTCAGCCATTGTACCAGTATATTGCTCACAGAAATGTGTCAAGGGGCTATGCTGGGGTTGTGAACATTGCCAATGACGTAATTGTTTATGGGTGTGTCATGGAGAAACACGAAAAATTTCTTTTTGCGGTGTTAGATAGATGGAGTGAGATGAGGTTAACAATTGATGGTGACAAGTGCGAATTCAGAATGTCAAAATTAACTTTCTTTAGTCATGAGCTGACAAGCAACGGCCTAAATCCGTATGAAGAGAAGATTGCAGCTATATATATCTGAGACGCGAGACCTCCTAAAGCAGCGAGTGAAGTACGATCGTTTATGGGTCTTGTTCAGTACTCTGAAAAGTTTATGCCAGACGTGACGGCAAAGGCAAAACCTGTCCAAGAGTTGACGAGAAAGGAAACTGTATTTCACTGGGATATAGAGCAGCAATTTGCCTTTGAAGAACTAAAGCGTCTCATTACACAAGCGGAGACTTTGGCTTACTTCAAAAATTTTGAATGTTTCAATTGCTCGGTTTTCATTCGCCTCGACACCCTGTGAATGAAGGTGCACGCAGAAAACACAGACACGCCAAATAAATCGCTGATCATCCGCTCGAAAAACCTTGTCGCAAAAAATCTCAGAGCAATGAGGACTTGCTGCATTCATGGGTGTCAGTGGCAGACCTCTTCTTGTTTGATGTGTAAGATCTTGCTCTAAAATTTTCACGAGGTCAGCAATTGAATCCTTTCTGAAGCGGAAGCGAATTCGAAAATCTTCGCTGTAATACTCTATAGGATTATATCGGTCCCCAAGGTGCCGATTTTTACGAGACTGTGGATGATATTGATTGGCGTACTTTATAAATGGCCTGTAACGTAGTGATCCGTCCATTTTTATAATGACTGCCGATGAAAGTGCTCCAGGAACAGTGTCCAAACCTACCTTCGAGCAGGTCTAAGTCGTTATTGTTCCTTAGTCGGTGGTTAAACACGGTCTAAACACATGCATTTATGGACGATCAGTTCTTAAATAATTGGTTTCCACAGTTTAAACGTGAGTAAGACGGTGACTTTCATAAACGCTTTTTAAACCTCGTTTATAAATAATTGGCCCTCACCTTCTTCATTTTTATCATCAGTCACTTCGCATAAGCATCACATATCGACATCCCTTTCCTCCCAGGATGTAGGAATTTTGTCGCCATGGAATTGGTCAATAGGTGTAGTTAGCCATGTGTCTCTTTTAGCTAAGTAGTATAGTAGGTTGAACTCCTATTGAGAGCATTCAAAGCGTTTTCTCTCTAAGTATGCCTGTGTTATTTATTGAATAACACCAAGAGATTATGATCTCTTGACAACAAATTCATTCACATTTTTTTTTACCTTGTTTTGAGGTGAGTGATAATCGATAGATTTACTGTTTCAGGATCGGTGCTCTACATCCGTGTTGGTCCTGGCAGCTGAAATATGAGTGCGCTAAGAACGTGAACAACGCCACAGACAAAATGATGCAAGCTTGCGGAGGAGCTGGGTTCAAACGAGATCTTGGTATTTATATAAACAGAATTGATATTGAGTGTCGTGAAACCAAAACTAAAGTAATCATGATTAAAATCGCATTGATAGAATCAAACAACCTTTTGAATCAGAAAATACCACAAGTAGTCTCAGAGAACTAAACGTAAAAACCAAGCAAACTGCCCAAAGCGCTGAAAGGCATGAGTGCCAAGTTGCAGTTAGTTTCTGCCTCGACGTTTTCCAGGCCTATGAGCAAGGTTGCTCCTGACTCTCGATTACAAATTGATCGAGATCTGTTCATTTGGAATCTAATAACTGCTCAAGTGCAGTCGTCTTCGTAGTCAGTCGACTGTCTTTTTACTTTGCACAAAAATCGTTCGACTGTCACGTGCGATCTTCAAGTTGTCAACTTGGTTTATTTCGCCTAACTGAGGATTAATTAGTTTATAAATTGATAGGTTAACTGAGACTAGTTAATTTTGCAGTTACGTTACATCGGTCTGGTAGAGACTGCTGCCAAAAAAGTATCATCTCTCTGAACAAATTACGTTGGTGTCTTTCTTCATCAGGTGTTGAACGCTTGTTGCGAGATGGTCGCGCGGGGTGGGTGATGGGCCCAAGCAATGAAGTGATAAAACAGTTCGTTGGTAAATCTTCTCTGTTTGGTGTGGAATGTTTGGACATTTGGTAAGACATAATTACATCTGTACACCATCTATTCGATTGAAACGAAAGCACAGATGATGACTTTTGACACCCACAGCAAAGATATATAATACCATTCGGTTGTAGCGAGCGATTCGTAATTGCGCTTGTTTGTCATCTTGAATTCTTAAAGCAGAGGAAACCTGAGGAAAGGATTTAAATACGAGTCATGTAAAGAGCTTAGTAGAAGAAAACATGACATATCGAAAAACTTTCATAAGTGTTTAGCGCCAACACGACTTCCGTGATAATAAGGCCGCAATGCCGGCCAATTCAGTCGATATAAAGTAACGTAGAACCTTATAGAATTGTTCCCGAAGAGTACATAGCTGGACTTATTTGTGAGTACCCTTGGTGACCTGGGAAAACTTTTTAGCTTTTTCCATCCCACCGGAACAAACTAGCGTTGGCCTGTCAGTTCTCTGTGACCGTTGCACACACGTGGAAACACTTCAGTAGTTGCAGTTCCTCGTGCTGGGAAGAGTATTTCACAAAAAAGATCCGATGCCTACTTATTGTATGTAGACACATTTTCAATTTTATGGATTTAAGGGAATTAATTATATAATATAAATCTACTCTCCCCTGATCCGCCTCGATCTTCTCCGATCTATCCTCGAAATTAGTGTTGCGAACGCAGTGACAACTTAGGTCAGTCTGAATCCAAGCTTTCTTTTGAATTAGTCTGACACCAGGCATAGACGGCCAGGATAAGTTGAGCCGGTTGAAACCAGGCTTGAACGGCCAGGATAAGTTGAGCCAGTTGAACGTATGAATGATATGATAAAGGAAACCTGAATTAAACACTGCGCTATTGCCTTTGATCTTAGGTCTCAATCAGCCAATAGACGTACCCTGAATGCCGAGTTGCTAAAACTAAAGGACGAAGAAAAGTTGGAAATCGCCCAGCAGTTGATGCGTGAGGTTGAAATGAACGGACCACTGGAGAAGAGTGACTCATCATCTTACCAGGACACAGAATTTGATAACCCATTCAATACTCGGCCATCGGTCAGTAGAGGCCCCATCACTGATGTAAATGGAACAGAACACTTAGCCGCTCTGAGCCCCGACTGTTTTTTCCCCTTAAAGCTCCTGTCCGTGATACCAATGGGAGATAAGCAAGCAGAATTTCAGTTCGCTCTACCCCAAGCATCTCAACATACTGGTTGTCTACCGGGCCAGTATGTCCAAGTCAGAGTACCTCTAGACAAGGACGGCGAGAAGTACTGTCAGCGGTATTTTTCGCCAGTAAACGCCACCACAGAATTTGGCCGAATAGACCTGGTCATGAAGTTTGAGAGTCATGGTCAATTATCACAGAGATTTAAGGCACTTACTCCAGGTAAAAAAAGGAAAGTACGTAAGGTTCTTGATTACTCGACAACTTCAAGTAAGGAGATTTATACATAATAAATAAAGTAGAAAAAATTTGTCAGAACTTCAGTGATATAATGCAAGCCTATTGCAGTATTTAACTTTAAAAAAAGAAAAAGTAGTTGTCATGAATTTCTTGATTTCTCCACACAGACTGTACTTTCTTTATTAACGTGCGTTTCTCTCTGTTTGGTATCTACGTCATAT